TTATGATGCCGCATTTCCGTGACTCATTTTAGCTTGACCAAAGGTCTATAAACTTTTCTTGGGTTGAGAAGGTCAGAGTTGGGAAAAATCAGAGAAGAGTAGATCCTTTTGTTCTCAAAAATTTTGAACATTATAATTCTATGCTGTAGGAATGCAGGAAAAGATGCCAACTTTCAAGACATTTATTTGATTTCATTTTTAATGAAGGAGTTTCTGCTGGCAGGCAAGAAAATATCAGACTATTTCCCAACTTGAGCCTTGCTTCTCTGTTCATGTTTTTGTGTGTGTGTGTGTGTGTATTTCAGTGCTCTTGGGCACAACATTTTGTAAAAAATATCCCGATTTTGAGGGAGAAGGGGGAAAAGACAGACATTTTTGCAAAAATTGGCACAATCAGTAACTCCATGATATACCTCATTTCAGAAATAGTGCCGCAAAATTTGAATGAAACCTAAAACTTGTGTGTGTGAACAGGGGAAATCGTTTGAATCTTCTACAGTATTTTACTTGGATAAATCAACATTCCTGAATAAAATGACGTTTTCCAGCATAATAATTAATTTCTCGCCGCAATACTGTACAGTGAAATTTCAGTTTGTTTATTCTGATCATTTATTTTACCAAATTATAAAATTGTTGTGCCACAATATTCGGGAGTTTTGGTCAGGTCCTTGAGGTATTTCTCCTTATGCTTCGAAATTCAATATGCAGGTGTTTCTTTCAATGTGATATTATACTTATGGTCAGGTTAGACTAGTCATTTTATTGGCCAGCAAAAGCTAAGGTATTGTGATCATCAGTCATGTAACAAGTAAAACAAAAAAGGCGCCATCATGTTTTAAATTTTCACGCTGAAGTTAAGGTATTCAAAGTTAAATTTTGTACAATATACTGTTGGGCTTAATTTGGTGATCTGAAGATATAAATTTTGTCACAGGAAAAAAATTCATCACACTACAGCCATTACGAAAAGTGCCATTTTGTAATCTTGATTTTTTTGTGAGGGAGTAGTTTCTTTTTATTGCAGTATTGGTGTCAATAACTCTTTTCAGAAGCAATCAAAAACCCAGAATATCAACAATTACAATATCCTGTAAGTTCTTTGTTATTTTCCCCAAAAGTGCTTGTTTCCCTGACTCAAAGCCTTCCCAACTCTACTTTTTGCTTGTCCCTTGAAGTTGAATTGAAAGAGGTTTGAGTGTATTTTGAATGGAATGATACAAGATCCAAAGATTGAATTTTCAGGACAATTATATTTCGGAAGATTAATGGATAAACTTTATGCTTTCAGGCACCCTATTTGGACAGAATTCCCGAAGAAACTGGCAGCGAGACTTCTTCCATAACAACCGAAGCCAGGGAAATACTCAGATCCTCAGACGGTCACAGCAGACGGAACCTTACCGGCATCGTCCCAGGTTTGCATTATTCGTAGCTTCGACATAGCGTTCAAAATTAAGGAAGGAACACCTGTGTTGCAGTGCATAAATAGTGCTGTCAAATACATTTAAGCACACAGAAGAAAAAAAAATTGTCTTATCCGTTAAGGGTTGTCTGAATGCCGGAGAGAAAAAATTTGGGTCAACATGTCCGTCTCGAATATCCTGAGTCATATGAGTCAATTGACGGATACATTTACTGTCTTACTCGAAAGGAAAATGCTGTTAAGGAATAACTTACCTCAACATAAATATGAATAAATTCACTGGTGGATCAAAAAATAAAGTATAGTTCGAAATTCAAGAAATAAAAGGCAGAATCAGCCTGGGACTAGGCTGGGAATCCTTTTAGGATTTCCTATTTAAAACTGTTTTTAAATGTATTTCGAAATTGTCCCAACAAATGCTTCAACACGCAAAGAAAATTTTTAGTATACACAACAACTCAGCAGAACTCTTTTTGAAATTCGGAATAATTTTGCACACTTGATCACGCCGAAAGTTTGATTGCAAATGTGGCTTTGTTCTTTGGTAAAACTCTGGAATTGCGGAAATTGAATCTAGTTTTCATTGTTCTTGAGTGGTGTGGTTTTCCTTGAAGAGTTCGTTCCCTTTGAAGGTTGGTTCTCTTATCTGATGCTAGGTTTTTGTAGTTTTTAATAATTTAGTTTTTACATTATGCGGCGCATATGTGTGGTTTCCCAACAAATACTAAGCAATCTTAGATCCACCTCCATGACTTCAAAATATTTACACGTATGTAGGATGTTACAGAATTTTTTAGGCCTAGTGGAAATTACATATTTTTTGAAAATGAAAAATATCTGAGTTTTAATTTAAAATTTCCGTAATATACAGCATGCGTACATCCCTAAAAAAATTCACATTCTTGTGAGGCAAAATCCAGTTTATATGCAAATGAAGTTTTCTGGATATTGCAGTTCTATAAATTCGCATTTCTCCATGCTCATGGAAATTAATAAAAGAAATCTTTTAGGCAACATTAGCCAGCAAAATCTGAGGGATTCAAAAAACATGTGCTGGTAAAAAGGAATTGAAGCGGCCTTTCATTTGAGGCTGAATTGCAATCTTTGGATCTTGCATAATTCCATTCAAAATACACTCAAACCTCTTTCAATTTAACTTCAAGGGACCAGCAAAACTTAGAGTTGGGGAGGCTTTGAGTCAGGGAAACAAGCACTTTTGGGGGAAATTACAAAGAACTTACAATAAATTGTAATTGTTGATATTCTAGGTTTTTAATTGCTTCTCAAATGAGTGGACAGGCTGCTGAACTAGGAGACAAGGGTTCATTTACCCAAATAGTCTTTCACTTCCTTTCAGAAGGTGTTGAGTTAAATTATTGTTACTTTCCTCCTTCCTGTGTAAAAAAAAAAGTACAGCAATTCCCAAAAGGCCTCCAGAAAATTTGGGTAATGGAGGTTTGAGGGGGAAAGCCTTGGAGTTAGGGAATTTTTCATGCATTTTTTCTAAGGGAATTCAGGTAGGTTTTTGAAAAAAGAATCAAAATAGGGACAAGGTGAGATTAAACTGTATTTTCTCTTCAAATGCAGGCCTTTTTTTAGAAATTCCTTGGCCACCTATTACAGATTTTAAGCTACATTAAAAAACATTCCAGATACCAGAGACATCTGAGTGCTGAGGCAGTTACCCAGCCTGAAAGGGAATTTAATTTTAAAAGTGCAAAACTACATGAATCAATGAATGAACAGAAAACTTTATTTGCCGCTTTTCAGCTGTCACAAGGCATAACCAGAACTCCCGCATCCAAACCCCCTCCCCCCCCAACCCAACTCCCCCAAATACATTCAATCATTTCAAAGCATGAAAGCTGCTGTTCTCCAAAGCTGTTTTTAGGGATAAATGGGGTGCAGGACCAGTAATTCAACTGGCAAACTCCATGCTGCATTCTAGCAGTAAAGCACAAACCAATGACAAAAATAAAAGAGAACACACTCCACAAATTAAAACTGGACATCCTACACGTATGTTGCATACACCCACCCATCCCCAATATTGAAGACAAAGCAGCAGTAAAAGTTTATTTAAAGCACAAGGTCTTCAGCCTGTTTCTGTCAAAACTACATTATGACTGCAGAAATAAGGGAAGCTGGAGTATCCTCACTCCTTGGATGTTAAAAGAGGACTTCATTACTGTATTGTCTCATCGCAGGTTTCATGAAGACAACAATCACACGCACATCACCAAATACAATCTTGCATTGTGCAATAAAAACTTGCTTCCAAAAAGGAATAAAATCAGCAAAGAAAACATGCTTCTCCTATGGCGAAATTCCGAATACACTAACTTCCAAAGCAAATAACTCCAGGAATTTTACACTTGAAAAATTCCACAACATCTTAAATTAAAGCTGAAGATGTTCTTCAACTTTCCTTTTATCATATAAAAATTGATCTGACTAACAGATCTTGAGATAATCTCAATTTTCTAAGCTTAACTTTTCTTCAGTGATGAGAATCTAGAAAACCTTCATGCCATCAGATTCTTATCTCAGTGATGCACAAGCTTTTGGTGCTAACAGTGACTTCAAAAGCCTTGTTCCTGATATGCATGAATGAATTTATTTCTGCAACAGCCACATTTTTGCATTTCTTTTTCATTTATCACGCCAAATCAACCGTTTCTCAGATTAAAGCAGCCCTATATACCTTGTTTCTCAAACAGGCCAAGCTGGAGCAATGACTTGCAGAGCAACCGGGCAACCCCGCCCCGGGGATTCCTCCTCTTACCTGAACCAAGACCCGGTGCCCACGCACATCATGTCCACGGATCCATTGCCCAGTGTGCCCCTGCCGCATCGGTCAGGGTTCCTGGGCACGTATTCGGCCCCAATGCCGCAGCCAGACAACACGCTTATGGTGCTCCGCAAGGCCAAAGAGGCCCTGGAGAAAAAGCTGCTGGAGGAACACCAGCGACTACAAAGGGAGGCTGAAAAAGGTACACAATCGTAATGTCGTCATTCCAATACTGGATTATTGTGATCAAGCCTCTCCTGGAAAAAAACTCGTTGAAAAAAAATCTTCTTGCACTTAACAACTGGACCGACCTGGTACAGCAAAAGATTCCTCAAGTTTCAACATCTTGGGTAATACATGAAGGGAGTTTTTGATGACAACGTTATTCCAGGACCAGTATAATTCGCGACAAGATTATTCCAGGCTGGCAAGGTTGAGCCTGATGACGTTATTCCACCGTTCCACCTAAAAAAGATGAGGAGGTTTTTTCCCCAACATTGATATCCATACTCCAGTCAAATAGTTCTATACTGAATACTGTATGGTACATTAATCAGTGTGAAAAATTTGACAGTTGAAATCAGAGCTGAACAATGGATGGTTTTTCGTCCAATTGTTCCCCCAATAACAGTGCATTATTTGATTGCAAAAATTAGACCATTGAAATCAGAGCTGAACTGTGGATGGTTCGTTCATGAATTATGCAAGGGGTACAGCACTGAAATTTCAAATCGAAGTATTTTTGGAGGAAAGAGTTGAAGAAAACTTTTCAAAAAAGTCAATGAATTTTTTTTTCTTGTCATGCAAGATGCAGAAAATAATTTTGCAGAAGGAAACCCCGCAGAATACGCACTTTTGACCTGAAGCAAAGTCAAAAAAGAAAAGAAATGCGCACACATATCACAGTATATGCTGCACACATGTGATGAACCCCCCCCCTTTCAAAAAAGAGAAGCTCAAAATTAGTTTGCTAAATTTATTTTGCCTTCCTACACATGGAATTTGCCCAATTTATTCAAGATATAAATTGAAAAGACAATCTTTTCTGGTTTTGGAAATTTTGGCAAAGTGCACAAATCTTGTTAAAGTCTCCAGATGTTTGGGAAGATGTTTTCAGTTTAAGATGGCCACAATTCAAATCTTTTGCAAGTTGGGACATGCATTTTTTGGGGGTCCATAGTAAACTATGCTGGGTGCGCCCAAAAAGAAGTGAACCAATTTTTGAGTTTAGCTCAGTAGCAAATTGAGCTTTGGCAATGGAAAACCACCAAATGAAAACTTGTTCATTAGGGTCACCAAGTGCCACAGCATGGTCACAAAAGCCATTTAAATCAACACTTTCAAAAAACAAAAAAAGTTGCCAGGCAACTTCTTCCACTAAACTTCTGTTCTCCAAAACTGTTTTTTAGGGATAAATGGGGTGCAGGACCATTAATTCAACTAGCAAACTCAATGCTGCATTCTAGAGGTTGTAAACATTTCCGCATTTTAAGAGGTGGGGGTGAAAAGTGCAACAGCAACAAAAATTGAGCAGTGGATTGCTGCTTCACTCCCAAATCCTGATGCAAGCATGCTGGGTGCCAGCTGTTGGGGGTCCTTGGACCTTGGACAAAGATCATCAGTTTTTAGTCAAAGAATGACACACAGGCAATTAGCCATTTGTGGCCTGAGGAGAAGTCCTCAACTTTGAAGTTTATTTTCAAAAGATATGTGTTTTTGATATCTTATCAACACAGAATGCAAGCTTTCTCAGAGTAGTGTTTGCGGTCACACTTCAGGAACTGTTCTGATGATGATGATGAGGTTGTGTAGATGAGGTTCCATTCCAATGGAAATGAACCTGAAGGCCAGGTTCTTGGAGTTGTGTTTTGTGATTCATGAGAATACTTTTGAAGAGGATTACTCATTGTGTTTTGTAATAATTGCGGAATATTTCATGAAGGTTTTACATCTTCATAGAATATTCCAAGTTATGTAATATTGTGTTCTTGTTGATTCCAGTTGCTTCTATGCAACGTGGCGCAATTGCGAGCAACATCTAGTCATTTCACAGTGCAAAGTTAAAAGCTTTGGGCGACATCTAGTTGACCCACGACACCAGCCTCATCATGACTCCTATTAACCCCTGCATGCACATTTCTTTGGTAGGACTGGATTGCTCTGAATCAGTTTCACTCACGGATAATCACAATGGCCAGTCCTCCCTCTTACAAACTTGCATCAAATGAAGCGAGGGAGCCACATGTTACATTGTTACTAAAAAAAACACGCTTAATGATGCATAAAAAAAACATTATTGTTATCCCTGTCGTCTTCTGACGCATATATAGCCAAAAACTCGACGGAAGAGATCCAAGCAGCGGACAACTCGTCAGCCGCGAGTTCCCGCACTTGCACTTCCTGGGGCACAGCGACGGACGCGTTCTCGTCAGCCGGCCGTTGTGCTGACGCGGAAGTGTCGACGTCGGACGACGGCGGGAGCAGCGCTCGTCAGCAGCCCTTCCAGCTCCAGCAACGTCATCAACTCCGCGTCGCTCAGGACTCCGAGTCCACTGCCAGCTCCAACAACGGAGACGCGGCGAGAGTCGTGTCTGCCATTGTGCACACTGAACAACACCATTGCGGCACTGTCGGGACGACGACGGGTTTCGACATGGAGGACCCCACTTCCATTCAGTCGCTGCTCAGTACCCAGCATCCCAAGCAGGACTTTGAGCTGTATCAACAGGCGAAACTGCACGCCATTCCACCCATCCCGCCGGCACAAGTAATACGACCCAGCATGATGATAGTAAATGGCGCAGTAACTACAGTAAAATCTCATTATTGCAACCAAATTTTCAGTCTAAACGAGCTTTTCTCTCAAGTCCTATACTGGCAGAATGCCCATAGAGTACATGTTAAAACGATACTTTCATAACAAATTGGATGTGGAAATCTTGATTGAACCTTGTGAACGCTGAAAAGCGGCAAATAAAGTTCTCTGTTCATTCATTCATTCATATAACAAACTGCCCAATTCCAGTGTTAGAGAAAAAAACTTTTTAAAAGGAATTTCCAACAGATTCTCCAGGTAAACATTTCCTGACTAAGGCAGCAACATTTTGGAAATTTTAAATGCCAAATATGACTGACTGATTTTTTTTTAGCATGGATGAAAGCTATAATCAATGATTGATTGATTCATATACAAAGTTTATTTGCTACTTATTACCAGCATTCACTAGGTTCACAAAATTTTTGCCAAGCATTCATTGTGTAATAGTTAATCACGCTTTATTGCTTGTGGAATATCAAATACCAAGTCTGAATATCATGAAAGGGTAAATCATGGGTTTGTTCAAAAATGTACTCGATGATTTTGGAATGATTATTAAAGGACAAACATTTTATGTTGGCAGCAGAAAATTTGTAAAATGTTGAGAAAAAAATTTGGCTGAGAAGCTCATGAATTAATTAATTTTCTGCATTCTGTGGGAAATTTTCTTCAGCATAACAAACGTATCAAAGTTGGTACCGGTAATTATGTTTGTTTTATTTATCTTAAATTTTGGAAAGAAAGAGGCAGTTGAAATTGTTTCATAGAAATAAAAGTATGGATTTCTCTGAACATAATACTTCAGACAAATTTTGACCGGCTGTAATAAATTATTTCAATTACTGTACAGTAGAACCTCTCCAAGTCAAATTTCAAGAGACCAGGGAGGTTTTTACTTTGGGGTGTTTCAAGTTAAGGAGGTTTTGAGTTGGGAAAACAAGCATTTTTGTCATGGAAAACATAGAAGAATTTCAGGAAATTGTAAATGATATTATTCTGGGCCTGAAATTACTTCTTAAATGAGTTGCCAAGATGCTGTGTTTGGAGCTGGCAGGGGCCCAATTAGTCTTTCACTTCTTTTCAAAACAAATCAAGTTACTTTTTTATTGTTTTTCTCTTTCCTGTTTCAAGAATACAATAGCCAAGTGACCTATGAAAATTTTGAGTTACTGAGGTTTGAGAGGAAGAGACTTTGAGTTTGAGAGGTTTTTTATGGATTGTTTTCATGGGAACTCAGATAAGGGTTTAAAAAAACTGACTTGGAGGGGTTATAGTTATCAAGGTTCAACTGTTTTAATTCTGAGAAACCTTTATTTCAGCCCAGCTTTCTGATTTTTGTAGACATTCCACTATAACTGCTTCATTGGTTCTTGAGTTTTGCCGTAAAATTTTTGAATAAAGAGCTCAACGTCAAACGTTTGCCAGTCCGCAAGAAAATTTCATGGAAATTTGCTAGTCCATATGGACCTAAATTTTTGGATAACCCTGTTCTAAATCGTCTCTCCATTATACAGGAATCTCCATTGCACTCGACTGCTGCCAGCAGCTTGGACACCACGAAAGCTCTGAGCGGGGCATTCGCGCCATGCTCGTCACAGAACGCCCTGGACAACAGCACAGAACGGACAGNATATAGCCAAAAACTCGACGGAAGAGATCCAAGCAGCGGACAACTCGTCAGCCGCGAGTTCCCGCACTTGCACTTCCTGGGGCACAGCGACGGACGCGTTCTCGTCAGCCGGCCGTTGTGCTGACGCGGAAGTGTCGACGTCGGACGACGGCGGGAGCAGCGCTCGTCAGCAGCCCTTCCAGCTCCAGCAACGTCATCAACTCCGCGTCGCTCAGGACTCCGAGTCCACTGCCAGCTCCAACAACGGAGACGCGGCGAGAGTCGTGTCTGCCATTGTGCACACTGAACAACACCATTGCGGCACTGTCGGGACGACGACGGGTTTCGACATGGAGGACCCCACTTCCATTCAGTCGCTGCTCAGTACCCAGCATCCCAAGCAGGACTTTGAGCTGTATCAACAGGCGAAACTGCACGCCATTCCACCCATCCCGCCGGCACAAGTAATACGACCCAGCATGATGATAGTAAATGGCGCAGTAACTACAGTAAAATCTCATTATTGCAACCAAATTTTCAGTCTAAACGAGCTTTTCTCTCAAGTCCTATACTGGCAGAATGCCCATAGAGTACATGTTAAAACAATACTTTCATAACAAATTGGATGTGGAAATCTTGATTGCACCTTGTGAACGCTGACAAGCGGCAAATAAAGTTTTCTGTTCATTCATTCATTCATATAACAAACTGCCCAATTCCAGTGTAAGAGAAAAAAAACATTTTTTAAAGGAATTTTTGACAGATTCTCCAGGAAAACATTTTCTGACTAAGGCATTTTTCTGACTAAGGTTCTCAATTTTGAAAATTTTAAATGCCAAATATGGCTGACTGCTTTTTTTTAGCATGGGTGAAAGCTATGATCAATGATTGATTGATTCATATACAAAGTTTATTTGCTACTTTTTACCAGCATTCACTAGGTTCACACAATTTTTGCCAAGCATTCACCGTGAAATAGTTGGAACACGCTTTATTGCTTGTGAAATATCAAACACAAAATCTGAATATGAATATTTTGGAAGGGTAAAGCATGTGTTTGTTCAAAAATGTACTCAATGATATTGGAATGATTATGAAAGGAAAAAAATTTTATGTTGGCTGCAGAAAATTTGTAAAATTTTGAGTGAAAAATTTGACTGATAAGCTCATGAATTAATTAATTTTCTGCAGTCTGCGGGAAATTTTCTTCAGCATAACAAACGTATCAAAGTTAGTAATTATGTTTGTTTTATTTATCTGAAATTTTGGAAAGAAAGAGGCAGTTGAAATTGTTTGATATAAATAAAAGTATGGATTTCTCTGAATGTAATACTTCAGACAAATTTTGACCTGCTGTAATAAATTATTTCAATTACAGTTGAATCTCTCCAAGTCAAATTTTAAGGGACAAGGGATGTTCTTACTTTTGGGGGTTTCAAGTTAAGGAGGTTTTCGACAAGCATTTTTGTCATGGAAAACATAGAAGAATTTCAGGAAATTGTAAATGATATTATTCTGGGCCTGAAATTACTTCTTAAATGAGTTTACAAGATGCTGTGTTTGGAGCTGGCAGGGGTTCATTTGCCCAATTAGTCTTTCACTTCTTTTCAAAACAAATCAAGGTTACCTTTTTATTGCTTTTCTCTTTCCTGTTTCAAGAATACAATAGCCAAGTGACCTATGAAAATTTTGAGTTACTGAGGTTTGAGAGGAGGAGACTTTGAGTTTGAGAGGTGTTTTATGCATTGTTTTCATGGGAATTCAGATAGGGGTTTAAAAAAAATTGACTTAAAGGGGTTCTAGTTATCAAGGTTCAACTGTTTTAATTCTGAGAAACCTTTCTTTCAGCCCAGCTTTTTGATTTTTGTAGACATTCCAGTATATAACTGCTTCATGGGTTCTCAATTTTTACCGTAAAATTTCCAAAGAGCTCAATGTCAAACGTTTCAGATGTGAATTTGATTTCTTTTTAAATTGAATTAGAGGGGTTCCAGTTATTGAGGTTCAACTGTATTAATTCTGAGAAACCTTTATTTCAGCCCAGCTTTTCTGATTTTTGTAGACATTCCACTATAACTGCTTCATTGGTTCTTGAGTTTTGCCGTAAAATTTTTGAATAAAGAGCTCAACGTCAAACGTTTGCCAGTCCGCAAGAAAATTTCATGGAAATTTGCTAGTCCATATGGACCTAAATTTTTGGATAACCCTGTTCTAAATCGTCTCTCCATTATACAGGAATCTCCATTGCACTCGACTGCTGCCAGCAGCTTGGACACCACGAAAGCTCTGAGCGGGGCATTCGCGCCATGCTCGTCACAGAACGCCCTGGACAACAGCACAGAACGGACAGTCGAAGAAACCACGTTGTCTCAGGTGCTGCTTCAAACAACAGACCCTACTTCCGTCACGGAATCCCCGCAAACAGCAGTGCAAGACACCCCGAAACGACTCCGTTTCGCAGAAACCGAAAAGACTTCGTCATCGGCTGATAACCGCTCCAGACTCCGGGCAGAGGCGCCGCCGCCACTGACGCTGCAATGCGTTCCTGTTGCTATCGACGGGGACGACGAGATCAAGTTCATCGATGATTCATCGAGTGAAGAAGTGGGGACACCAGTGCCGATGGCGGATAAGCTGGAGGAGATTAAAGCGGAATTCCTGCGTCGAGCTGCGGATCCGAATATTCGTAGGGTTCTGCCAACTGATCCCACCTTGAGGTGCGTGTGCTGGTCATATTATTATTGCAATACAGGCAAACCTCTTGAAATCAAATGTCAAGGGACCAGGAAGAAAAATCAACCAAGGGAGAATTTGAGTGAGGGAAACAAGCATTTTTTTTTTGAAAAAAGAGAGAAGGATTGCAGGAAATTGTAAATGATGTTATTCTGGGCCTAAAATTGACTATTAAATCAGCTGACAAGTTATTGCTGTGTTTGGAAGCAAGGGTTCAGTTGCCCAATTATTCTTTCACTTATTTTCAAAACATATATCAAGTTGCTTTTTTATTGATTTTCTCTTTCCTGTGTCAAGAAAATAATGGACAAAAGGTTTCCAGAAAATTTGAGAGGTTTGAGGGGGAAGCCTTTGACTTAGAGTGGGTTTTAATGCATTGTTTCTAAGGGATTCAGACGGGGACTTTAAAAGAATTTGACATAGGGAGGTTTGAGTCATTGAGGTTCAATTATAAAAGGTATGTTGCCAGGCAGAGAGTTCTCAAGAGTCTTGCAAAATGCCAAGTTTCATTTATTCTCAGGGGATCTTCTCAGTAATCTTAAGAAAGTATGTGGCCCCCCTCTAACAGACCTCCCGTGTAAGGGATTTTTGCCAAACAGACCAGCTCTGTTTTTTTATGTAATTGAATTTGTGTAAAGGACTTTTTGTCTAACAGACTCGTCCCTTGCACAAATCAAGTCCGTTAGACAGGGATTGACTGTACTTGAACTTCTACATCCTGATTTTGGAAGGATTATTGGAAGGTAAAAATGTTTCCGGGACGTTGAAAATGTATAAATTTTGAGCAAAAAATGCGAGGGATAAGCGCATAAAATATTCAATTGTGTTTTGCTTGCAAAATATCAAATAATAAGTCTGAGTATCTGTTTGAAAATTCACTCAATATAGTTTAATTTCTTAAAGTCAAATTCCAAGGCCGCCATATGTAATCTACCATATGTAATCTACATATGGAAATTCTTTTTTTTAACTTTTGTGAATATAAAAAGCTAAATATGTTTGAGAGATATCCAAATCTGCTTGAAAATTACTATTTTCCCTTATTTTAGAAGTGTTGGAAAAGTGTACATATGCCAAGACATTTGTCCAGATGTCTGGGCAGATTTTTCAAAGTTTCATGTGGTCCACAACTCATTAGGAGGAGTACGGTATACCGCAGGCGTACGGCCCCAAGTAGTGACAAAGCTAAGACAAAGCTGAAGGTCCGTGTAACGCCTCTCAAACAACGGATGGGTGGACGCGTCTCAATGGTAGCACCTTTGCGTGAGTCCCTCGGTGGCCAACAAGGTCATCAGCGATATCGTGACGCCCGGAAGCGTCGCGTCTTCCTCTGACCTGGAACGAGTGCGACCTCTGTGGGGCAGGTCGTACTCGTCGTGGACGTGACTGAGCCGCTCAGTTCTTTGCGACCAACTAGCCCTAGGCTTATTGCGCTGAAACAGACGAAGGCCGTGCGACCTAGGGGACTTATATAGTTATGACGATATCAAGCCGATGGATGACACGGATTTCCTGCTGTCGAGTTTGCTGGGGGACGAGGAATTTGTCGGCGTGCCACCGCTGCCGGATGAGTTGTCAGAGCCGGACTTAAATGTGAGAGACCCCCGTTTTTTTGGTTTATTTTTCTAGCTGCGAAGAAAAATCCCGTGGGGTACCAGGGTTGGGGGCGAGTATATTGTATAGGTAAACAATCAATTTTTAACGTAATCGCTGAGACCGCAGAACTATAGAAGGTGCATCAATGAATTCATGCATTGTCTGTAATGAATTTTAAAAAATTATAATCGGTTTCTCATGCTGATGAAGAATTAGTGCAAGTAGATTATTTTGAATGAGTTTTTTTTTATTCAAGTCATAATGGTTCTATAGGTCTCTCAACCAGCCAACATTTCAAATGACATGAATAAACATAATCGGATTGGGAGCAATTTTCAAATCGTCATGCAAATCTTGGCTATATCATGTACCGTATTATAGTAATGTATCCATTTTTTTGGCAATTACTTTCTGCTCTTTTGAAAAAATTGGATGCAAGTGGAGCGGCGTAAATTATGCATATTTTTTTTAGGAAGTGTAATACCTGTTTTTCTTATCGGAAAATCGAAATTCGTACGTTTAAATAAAATCTTGAAGGAAATGAATATGTGGAGACCAAATAATTCAGCCAATAACATTTTTTATCTGAGGAAGACTCGTATCCAACTTTTAGTGACTGAAAAACTGTAATGCAATATTTTTAAAATGAGACGCACGAAAATTTCACTTTGGAAATGTTAGTTTGGACTTAAATGTTATTAAAAATAAAATTATTTTTCCCCCAGATGTAAAAGAGTAACCCTAAATACTGCGCGTGTACTCGAAGGTTCTAAAAAAGTTGTAAAAAAATGTACGGGTTTTGCGAAATTCACATTTTTTCTCAGCTGCAGCAAAAAAGCACATGTTGTATGTTTGAGTAAATTTGGTACAGGTGGACTCTCTCTACAATAAAATTCCGGGGACCAGAAAAAATTTTGTAGAGAGAAATTTCATTATTACAGGGAGAACCCCTATAATATGGTTAAATACCCCTAGACTACCTAAAGGACCATAAAATTAATTATGCAGAGAACATTGTTGTGGACAAAATTTTCACGGAGAGAATCCACCATTAGACTGTAAATGTATCCATGGTGAGGTTATAAATAACCGGCATTTTAAAACTTCCTCTTGAAAACTTGAATCAAATTTACTTATTTTCAGGTTTTGAATAATCTAGCTTCGAAATAACCAGTATATAAACGCAGTGACTATAACTTCCAAGCATAAGCAGTACCATAAAAATATCTTTCATAGTAACTAAAATAAAATGAAAAAAACTGATTTGCTCTTATTTTCATTCGCAGGTCTCCGACATAGTATCAGTACCACCACCGCCTCCCCGTTACAGCGAAAGCGACCTGGAACTGAACAAAACGTTGAGCAAGTACGGGGGTTTGCCCTCTTATCCACTCCCAGTGTCCGACACACCCACGTCCAAAGATGCACCTGAAAGCCTGTCATCTACGTCAGTTGAAACCGTGAAACGGGACGAAGAGAAAATGGAGATTCCGTTGTCAAAGGACGATGGGACAGTGGTTGAGAAGCAAGAACCGGGTTCACCCAAAGGGGATCGGACGGTCTTGGGATCTCTGCCAGTTTTTGGATCTCCACTCAACGTCGGGACTGTGTCCAGCGTTGTTGAAAGCCATGGTTTGGAAGCAGCAGACATTTTTATTTAATCAATGAAACGAAATTGGCTCTTCTATACGCATTTCAAGTGTTTATTTATGTAAAGCTAGGAATTTCTTGTCATATCATTTTGGCAATTAGAAATTAGATCAGATTAGAAAGTCTGCACAGGGGGACTTTCTCTGCAACAACATTCAAGGAATCAGAAAAAAATTTCTAGGAAGAAATTTGCTGCATATAGAACCCTTGAAACATAAAGAGGCAACAACACGGGAACAAAGAAAAATGTGTAATTCAAAGAAAATTGTTTTGGGCAAGATTTTTCTGGAAAGAGAATCAACTATTGCTTCTTTTAAATTTAAACTACTGTACAAGAAGTCACACAAGAATTCTTGCCCTTCAAATTGTCTTTAGAAGCTTCAGAGAATTTTTAATGGCTTAATCATTTTCAGAAGTTTTAAAAAGTTGGAACATCCATTTTTTGTGTCAAAAATGCCTGAATACATCACTGAATTGGCAAAGTAAATAATACACTAGAAATACTTATAGATTTATTCTCAGCAAATTTACTTGCTTTTTCAAGATTTGAAAGAAGCACAACAGTCTACCCATATAGTTATGTTCTGCATGAAGACTTTCTCATCTTTCTGGGATTTGATTAACAAAAACTGTACTTGTGAGAAAGTTGTTACCTGCATAGTGAAGCTATCCAGAATAGAAAGAAAATAATTATTGATGAAAAATTCTGACTTCCTACAAATTTTGAAAATGTTTGATGTCCAGGTGTGTCTGGACACCCCTAGCTTGTGGAATATAAATTGTCTGTTGATCGGTAGAAAATATTGTAACCCTTTACAAGCAGATGAATGCTGACATATTTTGAAGAAGGCTGAGATAAATGTTGTAAAAAATGTATCACACATATCTGATTGTAGCATGAAGAAAGCCATCAAGTTGAACCTTGACAACTCAAACCACTTCAAGTTGAATACCTCTTGATGTCAAATTATTTTCAAGTCCCTGAATGAATTCCCTCAGCAATAAAAATGTAGCTTGGTGAATTTTGGAAGGAAGTGATGAAAGACTAATTCGGTAAATGCAACCTTGCCTTCAAGTTCAGCACCCTGTCATAACTCATTCAAGAAGCAATTTAAATCCCAGAATTTCATCAATTACAATTTACTGTAATTCTTCTTTCTTTCCTCCCAACACAATTGCTTGTTTCATTCACTTGATTGGTTCAACTTATTGAAGAGGTTTGATTGGACGGTTATTACTTTTGAAACTGCTGTGCTCTCTCTCGCCTTTCCCGAAAGCAAGTCTTACTCTTCTTCTTCATTCCTTCCTCGCGGCATTAATGTTCCATACTTGTCCCGACAGATGCCACCCCCAGGGACAAGAAGGACGTATTTGGAAGCAGCGAGGCATTTTCGGAGCCATTTTTGTCGACGGACGGGATCAAGTCGTCGACACCGTCCTCATCTCGGAAGCGCAGCGGACGATCGTCGAGTCAAAAGGACCGCGATCGTCATCGGAGCTCGTCACGTCGCAAGCGGGAATCTTGTCGGACTGAGACTGTCAACACTCCTGTCAAACCTGCCGACATTTGCCCTTGGGAGAACGAGTGAGTTTTTTTTTTTCTTCTTTCTTTTCTCTCTCACGAGTCTCCGCCTGCGAGAAACATTTACTCATTTATACTTGCGCGCTTTCTGCGTAAGATGTTTCAGCGTCGTGTGACCTGATGTGATTTTTCACTCAGGTGTTTGGCTCCGTGTGCTCTTTCAAGTACGTATAAGGACGATACTGTTTAGTAGACTCTCATCACAGAGAATCTCGCTTTAACAAATAATTGTTTTGTAAGGAAGTCGTCGTTCAGGTTCCTGCTCAATGCCCAGAATATTAAATGAGTTACTGCAGTTGAAAAGACTTTTTGTTACGACGAAGCGAGTTTGACATTCCCAATGGTTACCCGTGCGCAATTAGATTTTTACTGCATGGATGTCTGCTGGGTCTTCAACTTATGCTGCTAAAGTTTTCCTGTCGTCCCTCGTCAAGATTGAGCTCCATTTGACAGTAATACGCGTAAACCTCCGGAAATTACTCACGGAGAGCAGGGATTTTGGCTAGACTCATTGGTTGGAAATGGGAAAAAGATTTCAAGGAAAAATGCCAGAAATGCACAATTACAGTATGTACTACCTAGGGTAGCCAAAATCAATGCGTCCCGTGAGAAACTCGGGTCTCCAGGAAGTTCAAAATCACGGTAACAACTCGTTCTCTCTTTTTTAAAGTTTATCCGACCCGATGAGAAAAGGGCAGGAAATGAATTTTCAACTACACAGATTCAACTCCTTCAATTGCAAATTTGGAGAGCCTACGTGAAAAATTCACCAAGGGAACTTACTTTAGGTCACGCGACGTTGGATCGAACACACCAAGTATTTATTAATCTTACTGTATTATATATAATGTACTCCTCAGAAGCCATAATCGATCTAAACATACAGTAATTTCACTGCCAAGTTGTTTATGTTTGGCCTATAATTGCATAATGAGGTGCTTGCAGACTGAAAATTGATGAAATAAAGCAAAGTTTGATGATCTGAAACCCCTGAGTGGACCTAGAAAAAGTAGACCGATGCCTAAACACATTTCGTGACATCTCCTGAACGTATGAATCCACCACCTGAAGTGGGGTAAAGCTTAAAACATATTTTCACAATAAATACACTAACAATTCAAGCAACAAAGAGGAGACTCAGGTAGTGTACCATAGTTTCTCATTAAGGAAAACGTGCTGTGAAATGGTTTTGAGAAGAACTCCTGGATTTCGCTGGACTATAGTAGTGTAAGATAAAGTTTTTGGGGAACTGCCGGAAACTCATCAAATAGAATGAAACGTTATGCGATTACCTTTCTAATTATTTTTAATTTAATGGGTGCTGTATTTTACAATGGGATGGCTGCCATGATTAATCACTCTGCATTTTGATTTTTCTTGTTTTCCAAGTCTCAAAATACGCTATCTAAAATAATTTTAAGAAATATACTGCAGTGAGAAATGAGTTCCATGTGTCCCTCATATCCTTATAGAGAGAATTGCAGTTTTGTTCTCTATCATGTTCAACTGGAACCAAAAACAAGGGCATTAATCAAATTCTGACAACTTGTTCATATTTTACCTGCAATATTAAAGATTAATTTCATTTCACAAGATACTTGTAATGTACATCTCTGGAATTCGAATAGCTGGCAGAACAAAATTGAGAGAAAATCACCTGAGAAGTTCCAATGTGCGATTTAAATGAACAGAATATGAGTCACATGAGACACATCTAAGGGAATGAACATCGGAGAAGTCATAAAATAAGGATCAGGTCATTTTACCAAACTTTGGTTGCGCTAATAATTCATCAATTTTCAAAAAATCGGTCTGCGTTTTTTTTCCTGTGTGCATAAATACCACGCCGATGCAAGAACCTACTGTATATTTTTACATTTTGTTTACTCTCTCAAATATTATACCTGTTAATAATGAAAGCATCCTGCTGTTCGTTGAGCGATTTAAAAAAGATGCACGTTTAAATTGTTCGCCTTTGACAGCGCCCTGATTCCAACTTGGCTGTGATGGAAGTGGACGAAGAAATGGTTGCGAAAGGTTGCAAATTCGTGTAGATAGAAAATTGTTTTTAAAAATCTCGGAATTCAACCAAGCGGTCTCACTAAAGCCGACGTTGAACAAGGTATGTTTCTCATGGCTGATTACACCAGCATGCAACTCGTCACTGCTCACTACTGTATACATCTACTGTACTGTGTACTCAATTTCCATTTCGTCTCACGCTCACACTAGAACTTTCACTGAACGTCGTCACTCAACTTTTTTTTTTAGAATAGGAAAACATAAAATTAGATGTTTTCCCTCATACTTCAAGTAGACATCCTCGTCACCTAGTGCAGTGTTCCTCAACCCGTGGTCCGCGGACCGGCATATTTTCTGGTCCGCGGGAAAATTCATTCCACAAAATAAATTTATTAAAAATATAGTAATGAAGTCTGTTATTTGCTTATTTATCATTTCAATCCAAAATTTTGGAGACAATGGCAGTTGAAGTTGAATGATAAAAAGTAAATTGTTGGGTTTTCTCCTAAAAGCGATTTAGACATACAGTATTTTCACCTGCTGAAATATGTTACTTTCAGTTTTCAACCTGAGAAACCTTTCTTCAAGCCCAGCATCCTATTAAAAATAAAAAAGGCATTTCCTATTTCTAGCTTCTTATTCACGGGTTCTCAACTTAATTTTTGCTAGAGTTTTGTTTTGAGGACTGTATGGCAGGTATTTTAACATTTCCTGCTGATCACCAAAAATTGTACGGAACATTGCCGGTCCGCGGACAATTTTATGAAAAAATGCCAGTCCGCGAAGGAATTCATTAAAATTTGCCCGTCCGCCAGCCCAAAAAGGTTGGGGAACACTGACCTAGTGGACACAGTCGCTTATAGTGTCGTGCTTAGCGGCATAACATTGTTACTGCATAAAACTTTTTTCTAAAAAAAATGAACAGAATGCGTCTTGAATATGATGGCATCTTAGATCTGCATGCAAAATACTAGATTATGGGGATTCTTGTAATGATGAATAGTTCACGAACTTGGAGAACATCTTTCAAATTGCTGAGGATAAGATTAACCTGGACTAATCTCACTCTTTGCTTAAGAACACGTATGGCTGAAATGGGGATTAAGACAACTTCTACAATTTAGCCGCTTAATGCAAACGTAATTGATGCACGTATTACGTTCTTTGCGCGAATCTTTCTTATTATCCGAATCACATTCGTATATAAAGAACAAATTTTCTCATTCGCATAAAGAAGAAATCTCTTGTTTATGCAAATTTATACGTTCACAGTACGAAACAAAATAAATCACACTAAAAACTTTCGTCCAACAGAATGTTCCTAGTGTACAACTACGAAGTAAATTTGAATATGGTTTTCAAATTGACCAACTACAGCGAGCATGAAACCATTTGCATGGTCATTTTAGTTGCAAGGATATTCAAGGTTTTCTGTCATTGTGATATGAATAATTTGAGGGTATGAAGAATATTGAAAAGCCGCTGGAAATGGATTATTGTAGTTTCGGGTTCACCAAGTTTTAAATTTCATCAGGCATGATAATAAGGCAGTCAAAGTTTTTATGTTTTTGTTTGAATGGCAAATAAACAGAGACTCGTCTGATGAGCATTGAAGTAAGTTGGTGCATTTCAAAAGCTTCTTTCTCAAATCACTGAAGAGTTGCATGAGGGTCGAATGGGCAAGAGAAGCATTTGTGCTGTGCTCCATGCCATCTGTATTTATTTCTAGTCTGCATATTAGGTATCAGTGTTACTTTTATAGATACTGTAGCATGTATAGATCAAAAGTGATTCACTGATGATTTAATAATGAGACTAACCAATTATGAGGCATGGTTTAAACGCTTTGTCAGTCTGGTACAGTTGGACCTCAAGAAATCCAACCTCACTGCATCGCATTTTCGTTTAGCACCTGTTTGAATTCTGGTGAAAGCCTTATATTGAAGACCTTTCAAACTCCTTGAACCTCTACATTGGATGCCTTAGGGTTATTATTCTGGGAACACAGGAAAGCAAAAAGTGAGGAAAATTATTTATATTAACATTGATGATTTCCAAAAGGAAATGAAAGACTAGTGTGGAAAATTAACGTTTGCCTTCAAGTTTAGCATCCTGCCAACTCATATATCCTGCAGGTCCAGAAGATAGCCAATTCCTTCTTCTTGCAATTATTTTTTCCCCAGCAAAAATGGCAGTTTTCCCCAACTCGAAAACTCCTAGCGGGTCCCTTTAAGTGTTACTGTATTACAGTTTTCTCAGTTGAATAATGAATTATGATACTGTACTGCTGAAGTTTAAAATTTTTCACGCTTGGCAAAATGGCAATTAAATTTCAATGCGCAAAAATTTTAATTTCGGCAATTTTATTTTGAGTAGTGCTGAGGTTCCCTCTACAATACGTGAGGAAGAGGTCACAAATGTTGATATACAGTATAGCCCAAAATTCCGATCTAATGAACGAAGGCTCACTTGAATCATCGATCCTGAAATGGGTTTTGCCAAGAAATACTTCGCTATCTGAAGAACTTATTGTTTGTTTCATGGTGGAGACAAAACTTCTTAAACCATGCCTCGTATCTCTACATTTAGTTGTCAAAATTGTGTATGGGAATGGACGATTCGGTCCTTCGCTTGACCGAGAATCGTGTATCTGCAAGCTCGAACTATTGTTTTCTACCGATTTTTCAGAGAGCTTTGCAAGATGGAGTGTTCGACATTTGTCAAGACATACGCAACTTTTGGTTACCTGTGAGGAAAGCTAATTATTCGGGAACGAAGCAACTGAGATATTTGGCACTCCATCGAGCTCGCCAAGCAATGGAACCCACGTGCAAGCCAAGCCCAAACTAATCAAGAGGATGTTATCCGCACAAAAAAAAACCAATCTGTCAATTCGATTTTATGTATATTCAGTCAACATTGGGGGACCAGTTGGAGAGAAACCCGTTGAAACTGAAATACCCACTAAATATTTCCCGATTTTCAAAACCTTTTGGGCAGAGCATTCAAATCGATTGTGAGTGTGACGGCGGCGTAGATATGACAGAAGATCAGCTTTTGATGAATTTCGCCTCTTGATATACCCACATTTCATTTCAGTTCTTTGTCCTCGAAACACGAAAAAACCCCCAGATTTCTTTCTGTGGCGGGGGAGAAGGGCGGGGGGGTTATAGAGTTCAAGGAAGAAAAAGAAAACTTCACCCGCAGTCGAGCGTTTAAAAATCCTAAGAAATGGGATCCGAATTTTTTGAGCATTTCGATCGTTGCGTGTTTTCTAACTCTCTTTTTCATGCCCTTCTCAGAGAAGCATTCCGGAACGGAAGATTTTTTTTTCGGGGGGCTCGGAGAAAGGTGGGTTGGTCATTCAATTTGGGTTGTATTTCGCGAGCGAAAAAGTCGCCGAAAGTTCTTGCGATTCATTATAGGCTCTGTGATACTGATTCGTAAGCGTGCGCGTGGTCAAGATGTTGGTCGGATCATTGTTTCCAGATAGTTCTCTCCAGGAATGCGAGATGAAACAAACGCGCTGCGGGTTTCAAGGAATTTTGACAGTCGTGAAGCTGATCCTCATAGCTTAAGGATTGCGCAAATGGAATATGCTGTCGTTCAATTTTTTCAATGGCGTTTTATTTCTCCTCATCCAATATCAGTTCCTTAAAAAAAAGTGGTCCGAGTTGAAATGCAACTGCGACAGCCAATGACATCTACCCTCACGAGTCACAACCATAGTGACTGACGTAGTTGAAAAGAATGTATGCAGATGGAAATTGTGACATTCAAGTTAGGCCTACCGGAAGAAATCACTTTTCTGCGGCAACTACCAAACTTTTGGACTGTTATCTTTTGGAAAACCCATGAACAAAATTTTGATTACGCAATTTCATTTCACATTCGCATGGCTGATGTAAAGACTTTTTGCAGCACTGCATTATGAGAACGAAATCAATTAGAAGAATTCACCAGAAAAACACGTAAACAAAGAGGGTAGGCGTAAATGTGAGCAGCTTACCCAATCACAATCGAAATTTTCAGCTAATCCTGCGACAAAGACCACTAGAAGCACCAAATCGCACACCAGGTACACTTCGAGGCTGAGCAATAGCTTCACGAGTCACATGAAGCATTTCACCATTTCCCGGAGTATGAGGCGAAGGACTCTCGCCGAATCCTTGTCGAAATCGCACGCAATCATTCACTGATAGTCTGACAGGTTCATTAAGCTTCCCATCCTCGCCACTGCTTTCTTCAACGCATGGCGTGTCACCCTGGAATCCAGGGGAAACCCGGGATCTTTTTCGCGGATCCCCGCCTTCAGCATTCGCTGGATACGCTTCAGTGCTCCATTGAACTGCCCACTGGGAGAAAGCATTCGCTGCTTGTTCAACAAACGAGTTGAAGGGATCGTAGCCGACTTCGCATCCGAAGTACTTGTACCACACGGTTTGAATTAGTATGACAGGAAGGTGGAGTTCGTCCGTTACGTCGTTTGTCATCTCGGGAACCATTTGCTCCCAGAGTCGAAGAACCGACTTCAGGTGGGCATTCACCGTTCTCCCTTGCCTGGTCGTCACGTTGCACGCGGATTCGGATGGATCAAACTGGAAATATCATTAAAAAATCTTGTAATAAATGGAGAAAAATTATCGTAAAATGGACGGAGTTATTTCAAGGTTTCAAGCAGAAATCAGGGGCAAGCAAAGTTATTCGTATGATTGGAACATTCTGCGCGGCGTTCATTATCCAAAGCGCAAATTTCCGTTGCTGATCTTATCTCAGTCTAAACTTATATTGTTATAAAATCTGGCGGCACGTAAGTTAAAATGTCCAATTTTCGAAGAGCAACTGAAATACAACAAATGATCAGTGATTGTTCAAGTATCAGTGTCGTTACATGAATGTGCCACTGACGCAAAGATTCGCAGGAATAGATTTTGGAAATTTTGCGGTCCATACATTGCCCAGTACGAAAACGTAGAAGACGAAGTTATTAGGTAAGAGATGGTAACAATAAAACTTGAACATAGTTCGTTCACGGGTGGTGAAGAATTCTAAACATGGATGTACCGTAGTATAATTTATTTTCAGCAGAAATTTCTACCTTGAACATTGCTCACAAAAATAAGATTTTCCTATGGCATGTTCTTCGCATGTCATCAGGCATGACCCCATCAGATCATGATTTTCAGCGAGAGCAAATCACGAACAAATCACGTGCCTTTCACGTTATAGTAAGCATAGTGATTTCGAGACTTAAACTTACTGCGAAAGTTTCGTAGCCATCGATTGAAACCTCGCTCCCGTCAACAGGAGGATGAATAACAATAGAACCCGGCTGGACAAACTGATTCACGAATGCATCCAACGTGTCAGGCCCGATGCAGCTCGTGCTTCGCATCATCGCTCGATCACTGCCACGTTCCTTCGCCAAGAAAACTGCATCTCCATTGGGCAAGGCGTAATCCATGTAAAGCTCCACAACTTCTTGATCCCCACCGAGGACGTAATCGTCACAACATTCAAATCTGGAAAATATTTCACCCCGTTTTTTTACACAGGCAACGTCTAAATCATTTCTAAAATTTGATGATATGAGAAATGTGTCAGGAAAATATTTTGTTCTTCTCACTACAAGACCCAACGTGCTCTGATCCCGTAATTTTCCTTGCTTTACTTTTAGCTCCTCTATCTTGTAACATTTTGCTGAATTTGCAAGTGGGATGTAAATCGGCTTGGATGTGTCAAATTCTTCAGGTTTGTTTTCGAAGCGACACCTGCTTCAAACTTCGGATAGGCAAGTCGAGCTTGAAGAAGCAACATCAACTAAATACGGTGAAGTAAACAACATTCATTTTTTACGTAATTTAAGCCACATTTCCGTATTTCACTCCCAAAAAAAAAGAAAAAAAAAGGTAGCGAGAATTTCGGCAAACGGATCAAGTACTTCCGCTAAAAATCGCAACGTAACTAAAAACCATCAACACTTCCAAAGATTAATACACTGACGAAATCTGCAAATGGAAAACGAGCTAGGTCTCGCCTACTCACAAATTATAGTAAACGTCGCTAAAGTATCCTGCCATTACGAAAACGAAAGAAACACCAAAATATGGCAAAAAGCCTGTCTTGATTAGCGATCTACCTTCGGATGGTGAAAATTAAAGTAATTCGGGTATCCTCTTGCAATTGCCGCCGATGCAAGAGTCTCACAACGACAGACACTCTCAAATTATTTCGAGTACAGTATTTAAAGTGAAGGCGGGGTTTTTCTGGAACAGGCACACGTACTCGATTCAAAACGGTTGGGAGTTATTTTGCATGCTAACTCGCATGCACAAACGATGCAGCAATATTTTAATTTAGATCGGAAGACTAGCACATCATGTCCACACAGTTCTTACCCGCGATAACCGACATGATAATGATCCAATTTATCAAATGGCGATTCACTGTAACGCAGACGTCAGTTCTTAGTACAAACCTGTGCAATTTGCTGTAGTGTCCTTCGGTTGTCCGTTTCGGACAGAGTTTGAGGAAGCGTTCAGCGATGGCTTTGCACATCATGTACAGCGATTCCACGATGTCTTGCGAAGGCGGATCACCCATCGCCATTTCAATTTCGTACCTGGCTTGAGTCATGGTCTTCTTGTGGCTCCAGGCCCACATGACAAGCAATACGATCAACGGTGACGCTTGTGGATTCCAAGAATACACAGTGTTCTCAGTAACAGGAACCTGCACACAAGATGCATTTACTCACGAAAATTACGTCGAAAAATCCTCTCTTCTTTATTTACTTGTATAACTGATCATCACAAATCACCAACATAACCACTCTATGGAATGAGGCACGGAAGTTTTGAACGATATACCGAAATACTAATATTCAGAGTCCAACACAAGTTGGTTTGAGAATCTTTGAAGTGCTCCATGTAACTCTTTGCATTACTCAATAAAGAAGCCTAGTAGATAATGGTCTTTTCACAAACGGATCAATTTAATCAACTCTGCCTGTACCGTACTCTGATCGGTCACGAACTGAGTCAGTCATTTCGATTGGTCACGAACTACAGTACGAAACTAGTCAAACCTCCTGGGTCGAATTTCAAAGGACCAGCAAAAAAGTTTAACTTAGGGAGGTTTAACATTAGGGAAGTTTTGCGGTAGGGAAACAAACATTTCTGTTGAGGGAAGAATAGAAAAATTGCAGAACATTTTAAACGGTGATATGCTGGGCCTTGAACTGCTTTCTAAATGAGTCGACAGGATGCTGAACTTAGAAGGCAAGGGTTCATCTGCCCAATTGGTCTTTCACTTCCTTTCAAAACACATAAAATTACTTTTTTTCTTTTGATTTACTCTTTCTTGCGTCAAGTAAATAACGTCCAAAAGGCCTCAGAAATGAGTTGTCAGAAATTCAAGTTAAGGAGGTTCGAGAGCAAAAGCCTTTGAGTTAGAGGGGTTTTTAATGCACGGTTTCCAAGGGAATTCAGACTGGGATTTGAAAAAAATTCGACTGAGGAGGGTTCGACTGATATCAATTACAGTTTATAAATCAATTACAGTTCACCAACCATAAGTCCACATTCAGAACACTCTCTTTGCCCGAGAGACATCACGCTTCCCGAAGGTTGTGGAAGAATCAAGTTGCCAACTCCGCAACGCGGACAGAGCAACCGGCAAAGAATCAGTCCTTTCGCAAGGCTGAAGTCGTAGATGCTTTCTTGATCGGGGAACATTTCAACTATGCTCGCTGGAGTTAGGGCAGCTCGAGGATCTCTCTGAGATTTCCCCGGACCCATGAGAGCACGGAAGAGCAGGATTAGGAATAGGATGAGTCCGAGTGCCACTAAAATCTTTTTCAACTCTTCCGGATTTGACAAATCCGGAAAGCTACTTCCTTCACTCGGGGAATCGGGATCTTCAACGGGACTTGATGCCTCTGATGACCGCAACTCCGATTCTTTTCGTTTCAAAGCGGCTGTTTGTGCTGCTGTTTCTGTCATCTGAAAGATAAACTTCGGATCAAGTCAAATTCCATGAGTGCGGAAATAATTTGGAGTTCAGCGATAAAATCGACGTTTCAGAATCTTGGCCGAAACTGATGCCGTAATGCATTCAAATTATGTATACGGCGGAGAAAATCAGAAGGTTTGAGAATTTTATTAACGTACTTTAATAGGAATGCAGAAAAAAGACTGCATACAACGAAAATAACGATGAACCATGCATTGTCTTTTCGGAAATGCACGTGCTTACAGAACGAGTCCAGAAGCAGATGAGAAAGTTGAAATGGTGCTTTGATAGTTAAATCAAATCTATTCACGTTGAAATAGTTCGTTATCATCGTCAAGAGTTATTTTATAATGTAAAATAGTTGAATCAATAATTTCGTTAATTTACATCATAAATACGTATTTCTCACCACACAGGCTTTTTTGTTCCTTATTTCTAAAGAATCGAAGTGGTTAATCCGTCGGGACGTTCAATTTTTACTTGAAAGAATTTGATTTGGACCATCGAACTCACTTGACAATTGAATCTGGAGCATAAATCTTCAGCTCTTTTTGAAGCCATTTCGATACCAGTTTTGATCCGCTCTGCTCGAGTAGCAAAACCCAAATGATCACCCAATCGAGTCATGAGGTCTTCGACTCCCTTGAAAATCTTCCACAACGATTCATCCTAAATGAATCAAGGCACGCAAAAATTAGCAAGAAAATTTTCACCCACTCCTCCCGAGATAACAAGGTGAAGGGGAAATAACCCATCAATACTCAACATACATCTCGAAAATTTCCTGCAGAATCAAAAAAACAACTCCATCCGGAAATGGACATATGAAAAATTAGAAATAACCCGACACACTTCGTATCTTTCATCTGATAGTCTTAGTAGTTTGCTTCTCTTACAAGGAAATTTTAGAGCTCTCAACTAAAAATGAAACTGCAATCTCGACTGCACTAAAGCCTCAATCGATCTCATTCAAGCTAAAATAACCCAAGAAAATATCGAATGAAAATATATCCAGGTTTCAACACGCTTACCCGCTTTCTGTGATGCTCCTTGATTTCATCACTGATATCCGTTAAAGCGGCAAGAATTCCTGAGCTAACACTCGACAGTCTCTTCAAATTTCCACCAAAAGTAGAACTTATCATACGCAGCATCCTCAAGGCGTTGATTAATTCCGTGTTTGCCGTAACTGCATCAGCCTGATGAAAATCAGATATACAAAGGGAAAGAATTTCTTTTCCGAGGCCTCGCAAATTTCAAAACCATGCGAAATAATCACGGTATCACATCATACATCTTCACGCAGGAATCTCACAAAATTTTAAATGGATGAGAAAATAAACCACCGGATTTCCTGGTACGACCTTATCACGAAGAAGGAAGAAAAGGAAAAAAGAAGAAAAAAACCAGCTAGCACATTATACAAGCTTGCTTACAACAATATTGTATACCTATCTAGGTAATAATACAGTAAAACGCATGTAAAATGGTGAGCGGCCGAAAAATAATCATCTTAGAATACAAAAGAATAAGCCACACAAGAACTGGAATCAGATCGGGCTAAAGTTTAAATTTAGCTCCACAGACGAACTCCGTTTTTGTAAATTCATTCATGAAATCACGCCCAATTTAACCTCAAATCATATCCTTATCCTGAAAACAAGCCTTTTTCCTGATGACGTTATGAGACCCATCTCATCAACAGAAAAAACGGTATAAGCATGCATAATTAGTCGTTAGCTTTGTGAATTCTAAAACAGTACAAGCAAAATAATTACAGTTCCGGAAAGGAACTCACTCTCAGAACACCATATTCCGATTTCAACGCAAGTGCGTGAGACATATCCTCTTTGAAATTCGCAAAATCGATTTCCATTTGCTTCACACGCAGCATATACCGAGCTAAGCAGTCGGCATATTCAGCCGCTTTCCCACTAGCATCCTGAAGCGAACATTCCTCCAGCAAAGCAGCATTTGCATTGGCATCTGCCTTCACAGTCACGTTCCCGCCTTTCGAAGATTTACTCACTTCGACAGACGCATTCTATGAACAGAATTTGTGTCTCGAAAAATGAGATTGAACGATGAGAGCCGATAAAAGACCAACCGCGGCAGGCTTCATGCAGAAATAATCTTCAACCATGCGGTAAAATTCCGTTATTTTCTTCCGGACACCACGACGTTCTTCAATTATGCCAAGCACTTCGACTTCGTCTTCTTGCACCTTGTCTAGGTCTTCCAAAGTTTCCGATACCTCGTCGAGCATTTCCGAAAGCTTGGACTACGCGAAGGAAAAATACGTGAGTAGTTCTGCACCCGATGCTCTGAAATCTCAGATGAGCCCAACATCTTGTTATTGCCGGATGTACTCGAGTAACAGGCGCACCTTTTTTCTCAAAATTTAGAGGAAAAAGGGGGTTCGTGTCATGGGTGGGTGTACATTTTTTCAAAACGTTTCAGAAGTTCAAGTGTGTATTACATTTGATCTAATGAGAATTTTGGACCAATTTTGACACAAAAAACTTACTTTCATTGTAAGAATAGGAAACTGATAGAATTCAAGTCTAAATTCAAATTTGGGCGCTCATATTTTTGAAATTTTGCAGTTTCAAAGTCGCTCGAAGAGGGGTGCGTTTCTTACTTACGGATAAAATTTATTCAAAATTCTAGACTGAGAAAACTGGGTGCGCGTCTTACTCGAGGGCGCGTGGTACTCGAGTTAATTCGTTCCTGAACTTCATTTCGATTAACTTCCTCCTGATCTTATGGAGAAAATGACTATGCTGAACAAATAGGATGCTTTGCTAAACAACTTTCAGATAAGAAGAATTGCGCCACACCTTTTCCACAAGGGCACCGCGCCGCAGCTCTGTTAGAGACTCCTCCAAATCCTTCACAGCATTCGCTTGGAAGTTCAACGAAGTTGCTGTGAAAATCATCCCTGGCAAGCCAATGAGCTTATCACTGGGATCAGCAGGAGCTTCAGCTTGTACCTTGAGTATATTCCACTAGAATAGACCAATTATTGAGAAAAATTAAGTCACGCTCTTCGGAAGTTGCATCGGTTCCTCGAAAATCAACTTCGAAAATTGTCTTTCCCGGAATTGAACGTAGACACACCTTCAATGAAATCAAGTCCGCGGCACACTTGCTGATGTCTCCGATTTTTTCAAGAACAGCAGCAGCGTCATGCTTCAGAATCTTCGCATTATCGAACACTTTCTTGATATCTGCAGATGCTGAAGTGACAACTTCCGAAGAGCACGTCTTCTTCGAACATGGGAAGAATCCGTCCAATTTCAAGTGTTCCGACGGATCAACTTCTTCATCAGGCACTTTCCAAAGGTTTTTGAAAATCGAACTTTTCATCAATCGCTGCGAGTCGGCTACAGAATCTTTCGACGCCTTCCTTCAAAATGGTATGGAATCTCTACGTACATAATCTCCACGTTTCGGATTTGCCGAAAATCTTAGTGACAAGCATAATTTCATTCTCATACATAGGACAAAAAAGGGATTTATAAAACGTCTTCCGGATCGCCTATGAGCTTTTGCGTAAAAGACCACACATGAGCAACCCATTTCAGCAACTCGTTTTGCAGTTATAGTCACTTTTTCTCCCATTCACGTTCAATAACTCGATTTTTAGGATCAGTTTTCTTGGGAAGTCATGAGTGCTGGTGATCCTCAGATGAAAATTCAGATTCCAGTAATTTTTTTAGCCATCGCAAGATGGAGTTTAGATTTGCTGGATAAAAATTTTAGAGTTGGTCATTTCACTGATACGGAATATAGAAACTAGGGAACAATTCGTGAAGATGCGGTGACTTCGAATGCAGATGCTTCAATCAAAACTGTTAAGAAACAAGCAGATCTTTAGGAAGAATTCCTAGTGCGACCACTTATTACGCATTCCTGTCCAAAATTTCAGAGAAAACGAGCATGTTCAAGAAGATAACAAAACACATGACTTGAGCAACACATTTAGGGGCGAACGAAATTCAAATTTTAATCAGAATAAATTCCTTACGGATTCTCGGAAGATTCAAACATTGATCCATCAGCAGTTATAGTTCCGGGTTCATCGTCCAGGTGCAGCAGGAAAGAATTTTCCGACTTGTCACTTTGGCCATCACATTTTTTGCCGTTATTATCGGTGCGTGATTCCGTTGCATCCAGCTTTTTCCTCTTATCACGACATCCTGATGCAGATTCTTCTTCAACGATTTCATTCTGATACGCACGATAGCTTTTTCACATTTAAAATTCCAAGAAAAAGAAAAAAGTCGAATACCTGTCGCATTTCAGCAAGAGCAAACTGAATTTGATGCTGTGGCCACGTGAGATTTCGTTGAATATCTTCCAGCGTCGATTCTATCCCTTCAACTCGGTCAATAGCAACACCTAAACCAGCCTGAAGTTCTTGAAATTGAGTTTCAAATTCGCCAAGCTCAACGTCCTGCTCAATGAAATTTCAAGTAAGTCCATGAATAACAGATGAAGTACTGCCATTTTCTGACATGATAAAAAACATTTTTACCGAGAATAAACGAAGCATTTGAACACAGCTTTTTCAGAATCAGAATCGTAAGTCGATCTTGATTATTGTAAACAGCTCACCGTTCAAAACACGACACATTCGAGAGGACTCTCAGGCCAATGAATATAAAATTTATTTAAATTATTGTTATATTAAATTTACCGTCATTTAGAAGATTTTGCGGTTTACAAGCAATTACTGTATGCATGTACCGTACTTTCAGACATCGCACGGGAAAAATGCAGTGAAAGACGCACACAGGTTTTCCCTACCTAATTCCAGAAAGGAAATTAATTTGATACATTAGAGTAAATACGGTAACAGTGAAGTACAGTACAGTTGAATCTTACATTTCGCTCAAAATAAGCTTCTTTCGCCTGTCGTAGGTCATCCAAACTAGCATGAAGAAACCCTTGCTGCGTTTTCAATCTCTCAATTTGACCCGGCACAGATGCTCGTCGAAGAACCGCGGCTGAAATATTTCCGACCACTTCAGCACGATTGTCGTACAACTCAGACTGAAAAAAGGAGGACAAGCCTATTAACATGTACAGGATAGAATATTCGGAAACTTCTCTGCTCCTTATCCTGTCCCGGATTTTTGAACACCAATTGACGATAAAATTTCTACGGAAATGCGATGCGACGCATAAAAAAGAATGAGATTAGCTTCACGTGAGTAAGACAGAAACGTTACGTGTTCTTGAAATGCTTGAAGACTGAGGACTCTCGTACAATTTACAAAAAACCTCGATAGTAATACTCTCAACGAAAATTTGAATTTTTTCCCTAAATTCATCAACGGATTTGAAAATTGATGCCTGGTTCTCACTCTCAACTGCTTCAGCTTTTTGTAGGCATTCAAAACGCGGTTATGAGTACGTTGACGCATTTCTTTCCATGTATCTTCCAGTCCATCGAGTTTCATATCCAACTTCAACATGTCGTCCAATGCTGCTTCCAAATCACGCTTCCTCTTCTTCGCCTCGTTCTCCGTATTCTTTTCACGAACGGCGAGATTTATATCCAAAATTCAAGTTTGATTTGACACAAATATCAAAGTGAGCGAAGATCAAGTAAAACTCACTTTCACTGGATCATGATCAGCGACAGGCTCATCATTGCTACCAGGCCCTTCGTTCCCAGTTTCCGCCTCCGCATCGTCACTTACAGGGTCTTCATGGGTAGAAACTTCTCCACCGGGTTTCTCGCATCCCCACAATTTCATTACCAAATTTTCGAGAACACCCGGCTTCCAGACTGATCCGTATTCGCTGAATTTGACGTATGGCATCATGAAGGACAATGCAATGAAGCACAACAAGGCACTGGGCCAGAGCGCATTATTCCGTGACATAACGGAACGAACACTTCGATGTGAAAGTTAGGACAGCTAATCGAAAAGGATTAAAACATTGCGAAAGATTGCACTTGACGCTCAATTTTTAAGAGCCGCTATCTCGGCGGACAAGAACTGCAAATACTTGATACTCCAAAGTACTGCACTGCTATTCGTCTATCAAAAGAAACGGTCTACTAGGAGCATCATGATTTCGTCACATAGTTGGAAAAAAACATTTTCCTTTTACAGTATTTGTAATTTCTGAAGAATTGACCATTACTCAACACTCCGATTAACTGATTTTAACGGGTTCCCAACTCTCATCTTCAAACTAAAATACTGCATAGAAATATTTCAGAAATTCTGACATCGGCAATAATAACAAAAGAAGCTTAAATTTACCTTCCCTGAAAATTCGAAATCATTTTCAAAGCATTGACGATTCATAATTTCAGAGGAATAAGCGCAGAAGTTCAGATTTTAAATCATTCATCGCAGCAACATAATATGAGCAGAAAATGTGAAAGTAATCGTGAAAAACCTTGATAGATCAATTTTTATACGAAATGAACAAGAAACAAGATACGAGCAAATAAACTTGCTTCAGAATATTGCCAACGAGATTAGAAGTGTTCTCATAAAAAAAGTGGGATCAAGTTTCGCACAAAACAAATATTTAGTGCCGTAAAAATGAAATTATATCGCGATTATTTACAGATATGATCATTGTGAAAGCTCAACTTTCGCTTGAAATCCTGCAGGAGTATAAAAAAAATAACTACGCGCGGAAATTGAAGAAGTAATCCCTTCAAGAGACATGATCACAGAAATATTTCAGGGCACGAAGCAACTCGATAAAATAATATACCGAAAAAAACTTTCGTGATGGGACAAAAAACGCGCACCAGCAGCAGTAAAATCTTGTTCATCGACGAAAACTTTCCCATTCGAATATTTTAGTAAATGAAAGGACAAAAGGAAATATATTTGGAAGGATCAAAAGATGTATTACTCAGCACAATGAACACTGGCAACCCCAATTCCGGAATTTCTCGTGAAAAAGGCAGAACACGCAGGAAGTTGAAAAAAAAAAGAATTTCGTTTTACTTTTTGGGGGGTAGAAATTAATTTCGCCGGAGTGATTTTACATTACCGAGGCAAGTCAGCTACTGCTTATCACAGATCCTCTCTAACCCCAACGCTCCAATTCACATTTCTTCTTCAGAATCGCTCGGTAAGGTCGGCTCCGTGATTTGCTTGGAAGAGCTTATTACGATCTTCCGACCTGAAAATAAATAAAAAAAAAGAATAAAAACTTTAAATCAAGGAAAGTTTTTCCAAGGACCGGTTTCTCTCCCGGAAGGCATACAGTAATCGAACATCGTTATTCCAGTACTAGTTTCTCTGCGTCTGCCAAAAGTCGTACATGATAACCGACACTGGCCGGTGTGTGACGACGACGACGGAAAAAGCCCATCCTCGCAATTTAACCTCTGCTTCATCAAACATATTTTTTTAGAGTTTTATTATTCAACTGTTACCGACGTCATCACTTTGATGCCACGCGACACATAAAAAAACTCCGGTATGCAACGATAGTTCATTTCACTAGAACCTTTCCATAAGTTGCTAATCCTATCTCGCAGGTTTCGCTTGAGCATGTACAAGCTTCAGTCTGAATTAGGTCAAATAATGTTTATAGCACATCAAGTCAATGGTTCACCCGGTTTTCAAACTATGCTCCACGAAGCCATAACAACTAATCACTTTCGCAAGGGTTTCCATCAACATTTGAAGAAAATTTCAAGAAGTAATCATATTCAAAACAACAGCATAAGTTACACAATAGTTAAGTGAGATAAACTGAAAATTAGGGCAAATGAAACTTTTCAAGGACCATGTTTGTGATTCAAAGTACATCATACAAGAAGAAATTTTATTCGAGCATGTCTGAAATGTTCTGTTAGCAAAATCGACTCCAAAAAAGCCCCGATCAACATTTACAGTACTCCGAAAAAAAAAAACAGATCAATAATTTTACACAGGCCATTAGCGTCTCAGGCGACTCCCCGCGGAAGTTAAAGATGAAAAGCGCTTCACATACTTCGAGTCAGTATAAGGCCAAAACAAATTAAATTAAATGATTCAATAAAAAGTCACGAAGGGAAAAAAAAAACTGTCAAGGTTTTTTTTCTGCACACGAAAAAACGGAATACATAGGAATCGCTAGCCTTCTGGTTACTCCAGCAAAATCATGTCCCTCAACGTGGCGTCCAGCGGTAATTCTGTGTTGGTTTACACCGGAGAATAGTAAGAGAAAACCTTTCGAAATTGTTGATAAAACATTCGACTCGTAAAAATCTTGATTTTAAAATTTTTTTCTCAGCATCTTGTTGTACTGTTCGAAAGTGAAGGTGTGGTTCAGTGGCCAGAAAGACAAGAACGAGTTCGCTAAGACTGCCAAAGGCGACTTGTACCTCACAACACATCGGATCATCTTCCTCAACAAGTCCAAGAAACAAGAAACGATGAATTTACGCAGTTTCAGTTTCCCGTTCACAAATATTTCAAACGTAATGCACTCTATCATCAATTCACGGGGGAGGGGGAAAAACTGGGTTCTCATCTTGAAACTTTAAAAGGTGGAGATTCGGCAACCGATCTTCTGTCCCAATTACATCGTGGGCGACGTGGAGGCTGAGCCCGGAGGCGGTTTCCAAGGATCAGTGAAGCTAAAGGTGTCTTTCACCGGCGGCGGCGCCATTGATTTCGCAAGGGCGCTGCAAAGGGCGGCTAATTTGGCTAAACAGAGAGCACAGGATCCCTCCGGGGTGCTCATGGATGGAGCAGGAGCACCCGGTGGCGGAGGACAATACGAGGGGCCCGCCCAACCGGCGCCACCAAATTACTACGACTTGCCACCTCCTAGTTATGATGAGATCCAAGCACCACGCGATCAGTTCCCACTTCGACCTGAACGTGAGCTACTTTCAGAAACGAGTCCATTCCTGTTCATTACGCAAAAATCTTGCGTAAACATTCCTCTAATTTTTATTTTTCAGTCGAAATTTAATGTAAGTGATCAATACATTATCATACGAGGGGCCTAATACATTTCTAGGATTAAAAATTGCAACGGCATACGACTGAGCTGAAAAAAATCATTGATCAGAATTAGCATTTTTCGACCCAACAACAAAAATGCAGCCCTGTTCGACCCATCTTGTGAATTTTTTGTTGAAAAAAATCACTCTGGCGGCAGCTTCCCGCTCTTCTTTCGAAGATGATTTTCTCCTTCGGAATTCGTGAAACTAGCATGAAATTAAGTCCAAGGGCGGCCTTTGGGCAGCTGTTGATGAAAATTGCGGAATGACCTAGGGAGACCTAGAGACAATTCTTGAGATTAATGTCGTTCGATTTGATTAATTCTGAAAAAACAGACCCCTCCCACCTACACTTTACACGAGATTCACTTCATACGCGACAATTTCAGATAGTTTAACGTTATTTGGAGGTTTTTTCAGGTAAAGCTGGATTTTGGGTAGGAACTAGACCATTGATCAGGATTACGTTTGTTGGGTACACTTTACACGAGATTCACTTCATACGCGACAATTTCAGATAGTTTAACGTTATTTGGAGGTTTTTTCAGGTAAAGCTGGATTTTGGGTAGGAACTAGACCATTGATCAGGATTACGTTTGTTGGGTTTTTTCACAATTTTTCTAAATGTATTCATTCAGCTGAAGAATTCTGATCTACAGTTCGATGATATAATAGAGTAGCGAAACCTAATGGTGTTCCGTTGGAACGTTAATCTCGGCGGAATAATAGGAGCTTCACGAAAATAATACTGCACTGTACTTTATATGTGGCCCCTTCTTCCCTGACAATCACGAACTACACTACTGTAGTTCACGTTAATTCAAATTAATTGGATTGAGATATTCACGGAACAGTTTTCGCGACCTTCCCGTTTTTCAGCGGGGACAGTCATGGTAATGGAGAGCAACCCACCATATCCCGGAATAGCGCCAAGTTATATGACTCCCGACCAACAACTGGGATATGGACAAGACGGTCAGGCGAACGACCCCAGGATGAACGTCGTCTCAGGCCCAGCCATTTATCGTCCTCCAATGTTATGAAATCGATCATATTATTTGGCCGAAGCGCGAAATAATTCACATCTCTATTTTTCCTATTTTCTTACGAGACCATATTTCCATTTTTCAAAATGAGGAAAAATTCGATCAAAAAATATGCTCCGTTCCTTGCAATCAAATCTGATGTGATTTTCTCAAATGGAAAGATCATCTTCACCACGGCGATTCAAAAACAAGCAAGCAAACGTAAAATGTTGACACCTACCCGAAAATAACGTGAATAATGTACTTCGCAATTCACTTTTTTGGAAAACGATGAGGTTTACTTGGCAAAACATTTTTGACATAACTATGAATATAACTTATGAACCTACACAAATATTTCAAAGGGTAATAATATTTCCCAACTCAAATCATACGACTCATGAAAGAGATTTCTCACCAGTATGATGCATCACCCAAAAATCGTCATCAGAAACAAAAATGGGTAAATGATTTGGAGTAACGTAAATAAATCTCAATCAACATTTTTTCTGTTCACATTTTCTCTTCGGATGAAAAAAAATAATTATAGTAGATTAAAAAATTAATCTAGAAAACCACGTTTTCAAAAAGCAAAAAATAACCTACACTTTACACGAGATTCACTTCATACGCGACAATTTCAGATAGTTTAACGTTATTTGGAGGTTTTTTCAGGTAAAGCTGGATTTTGGGTAGGAACTAGACCATTGATCAGGATTACGTTTGTTGGGCTCACAATTTTTCAAAATGTATTCATTCAGCTGAAGAATTCTGATCTACAGTTCGATGATATAATAGAGTAGCGAAACCTAGTGGTGTTCCGTTGGAACGTTAATCTTCGCGGAATAACAGGAGCTTCACGAAAAATAATACTGCACTGTACTGTATATGTGGCCCCTTCTTCCCTGACAATCACGAAATACATTACTGTAGTTTACGTTAATTCAAATTAATTGGATTGAGATATTCACTTAACAGTGTTCGCGACCTTCCCGTTTTTCAGCAGGGACAGTCATGGTAATGGAGAGCAACCCACCATATCCCGGAATAGCGCCAAGTTACATGACTCCCGACCAACAACTGGGATATGGACAAGACGGTCAAGCGAACAACCCCAGGATGAACGTCGTCTCAGGCCCTGCCATTTATCGCCCTCCAATGTTATGAATTCGGTCATATTATTCGGCCGAATCGCGAAATAATTCACATCTCTATTTTTGCTATTTTCTTACGAGACCATATTTCCGTTTTTCAAAATGAGAAAAAAATCGATCAAAAATATGCTCCGTTCCTTGCAATCAAATTTAATGCGATTTTCTAAAATGGAAAGATCATCTTCACCACGGCGATTCAAAAACAATCAAGCACACGTAAAATTTTGAAACCTACCCGAAAATAACGTGAATAATGTACTTCGCAAGTCTTTTTTTTTTTTTTTTTTTTTTGGAAAACGATGAGGTTTACTAGGCAAAAACATATCTGATGAAACTATAAATATACCTTATGAACCTAATCAAATATTTCATGGGGTAATAATATTTCCCAACTCAAATCATTCGACTCATGAAAGAGATTTCTCAGCAGTATGATGCATCACCCAAAAATCGTCATGAGAGACGAAAGTGGGTAAATGATTTTGAGTAATGTAAATAATTCTCAATCAACATGTTTTTCTGTTTGCCTTTTCTCTTCGGATGAAGAAAAAAGAAGATAAAACTGGAAATGCTTTAAATATTGACCCATTTCTGAGCTTTGAACCTTTCATAATATTTCCATACTTCAGTAAAGATCCTCCAAATGACATTCTTCCTGAAACTTTACTCGAACCAGCTTCACAATTTTTTTCTCTCGATAACTATCCCCACGGCCGCCAATTCTTCTCTTTAATTTAGCAGCGCCTGTTCCGAGTGCCTTTCACTCTCAACTCGAACGTGAACGAAAGAGTTACTGTGCATCCAAATTCTTCACGTAATCTTAGATCGGTTTAAAACTTCGCATGCTTCTCATCTTGTACCCGAAATGGCTTTAAAATTCAAATGGATCGATAATTCGCGCAAGCTGATTTTGTTCGCCTTCGCGACGCCTACTGCGACGAATCCTATCCTCATCATTTTTTTTTTGGGTAACTTTTTGCATGCTTAAATACTTACGCTTGGGGTTTGTTCCGTCTCGGTTCTCTCGTTTCCTCTCAGTACTGGTCTCCACAGCAGGCGGTGATTTGGCGTAGCGCTTTGTACGGTCAACCGGAGTAACCTTGCAGGGATCACCAAGAATCTTTTTCACACCTCTGGTCTCATCTGGACGTTGATGAACAGGTACAACCATTTCAACCGGCACCTTGCCAAGGGACTTGATGCGTTCATCCAGAGTCTGAAAGGATTAATACGGTATTGTACATGGTATATACAAGAGAACAGATTTTACATGCTTTTGCTTGGGAGGGGTCGAAATGAATGGAGGAAGTATCAGATTTGACGTCCCATATTCTTTCGTGATACAAGCTCTCGGAAATTGTGATCCGGACGAACTTTTACAGAAATGTTGTCAATATTAGATTCGGTGAGAAATTTTCATACACATATGACTAATTGTAAGGGCTCAAAAATCATTCGTTCATTTTCGTTTTTATTATTCCTGTCGGAAAATTATTTCTACCATACAATCCAAAGCCAATTTTATGTTCTGTTTTTTTTTTTTCATTACGGTCATCTTATTCCGATTTTCAGATACATAGGACATCTCGAAGCCAGGTAAGTCATCAAGCAAGAGGACTTGATTTTCTTCTATCTTACAAACAAATTTCCGATCTCAATGAACAGCCGCAAGAAGTTTTCTGACTCGTTTTCATCAAGGAAAATTGATGGAAATTTATTCCTTTTTTTCTGAATAGTAAGGTTTACTATTCTACTAAGCGAACAACTGCTGTCGGAATTCCCTGAGTATTTCTCGACGTGCCGGTAGATCAACAACCCAAACATTAATGACCTCCACGTGGGCAATCATCAAGTTTCCCACAGATAGACATAGATACAGTAGTTCATTAATTTTAATCAAGAAAAACAACATGATGAACTGTTAACAATTCCATGATCACAATTACTACAAGAATCAACGAGAAAATTTTTATTTAAAGCTGGTCCTGAAGTCATATCATCAACCTTGGGCACACATTCTCGGGTGGACACATCAGACGACTTCCTGCAACCATCACCGATACTCTTCAAGTAGTATATTAGACGAACTCAATATGTGTTTCTAACCGGATTTGATCTGCTGGTTAGCAGAAACACTTGACCATCACTCAGTGTCAAACACTTCACGTCTGACATGATTGCATCCAAGTTCTGCGTTGGGATTATTCCACGTTTCAGTCGTAAACTTCCGGGATGATAGTCCGACGGAATGAAATGGCGGGAACAGATGACTGCGTTTACATTCAACTTGTCAATGCCCGTCGCTTCCTTCCACAACGAAGCCAAGAATTTATCTTTGGGAAAGCTGCGAAATACAGTCACGAATGATTATACACATTAAAATGAGACATACAAGCCAGCTAACATAGTTCACACGTCAATCAGTCAACGGAAAAAGATAACATTGCAGGAGGTTATGACCATATACTGGGTTTACAGTACAGTGATTGTCGAATTAAGAGGCGAACGAAGGCGAGTTACAGTGAGAGAAGGGAATATAATCCTGATTTCATACAGACAACCATCATTTCTTGGAGTTTTGGAAAGGAGAAGGAAATTTTTTTTTTGCTTTCTTCAAGAAAATCCAAATATGAGTCGGTACAAAAAATCTAACGCACAACGGAAAGATACGATTTGTTTCTATTATGATGATGAAGCCGTAACGTTTGACGCAAAAAATTATAAGAATAACACGAATTTTCTTCCGATTCCTCAAGCGTCCATTTGTCGTTGGTTTAAATGATGCCAGAATTTTTCCCTTTCTTAAGAATTGTGACACGCTCATTTGATACAATCACTTTTCATGATACGTTCATAACCCTCGAAATATTCCCATTTTTGCAAGTAAGTGTTCGGTGAATACTCAATGAAAAAAAAACGCAATACGCAGACATCACATTTTCAAATTTGGATTAAAATTCATGAACTTGGTTAAAAATCGAAGCAAAATACTCACTGGTGCATTTTTATTGAACCATCCAATCCAGGTTTTCTGCGACAAGATGGTACACTACACACTCGACGGTAATTATAAGTTACCATGAGCTTCTGAAACTGTTCGTCGTCAAGCTCGTTCATGTTGGCAACATTATTCACCTAAAACACCTACGGCCTGCTGAACAAAAATAAATACGAATTGTGAATAACGATAATCCGGTGAATTTTCTCGCAACTCGAGAAAAGATGGATTCTGACTCGATAACACACCAAAGTAATCGAGCGGTTTCAGGGTTTTAAAAATTTCGGCGATCTAAAATACTCTCGCACGCTTGGCGAGATTCAATACAATAATTCATGAAAAAAATAAAAATAAAATATTGTACCAAGAAGAAAATCAAGACAGTACTACGACCTTAGCTAGACTGCCTTACTTACTCTTGAAATGCAGATTATCGCACGAACAATAGCACAAAACTCGTGAAATATGCTGTGTCATCGATTAGGAATCCATTTCTTTCGGGAGTCATCAAATGAGCAAAAGAACTTCGAGGGATATTTTATCACTCTCAATCTTCAACACCGTCACACAGTCCTCAAGTACAACTGACAAGCAGAGTAAAAGAAAACCGAGCTTGGAAGCTCTCAAATAATAAAGGGAAAAAAAACGAGAACGGGGGAAAAATCACCAAACATTTCGCGAAACCTTCTTCCCTTCCTTCCTTCATAATACCTACAAAAGGAAACGACTCTCCGACCAGCCGCGCCAAGAAAGGGGTTCGAAGATATCTTCTGAATCCCCACAAGGCGACACATTCACAATGCAAGGATCACGAGGAACATCCCTTCGGGACTTTTCCTTTTCACGGCGTGTAACGTTTGCTCGCATGCGACAATCAACGAAGGTCCCCAATAATAGGCTGTTCACTAGCTCGGGACATACAACAAGAAAGAAAAAAACCAGAGAATGGTCGACGTCGGCAATTTCGCACGTCGTCATTCAGAGGATCGCTACAAAAAACAACACATACCCACGCACGCATGAACATTAGGAGACGTACAAGTCCAACAACTTTCCCAAGGCACTTGGCGACTTTCGTGAATCTCCATTTTCTTCCTTTTGAATTCATGGTCCTAAAAAATGTTGGAAAACGCGTATGGAAAAGGACCCACGAGGTTACAAAAACGATACTCCAATGTCCACGAGTATACTCCGAACTGGAAAACGCAGATCGTCGCCTTTCCCCGTCCGAAAATACATCATGCAGTTGAACTAACCAGTGAGTTCAGAGGAAACAATTTTGAAGCATGAACATTTTCTCAATTATCCAAATTCTATCAATCAACTTTCTCGCAAATAAAAAGTTGTTAGTAGACCATTCATGCATACTCAGCAGACTTCCGTTTTTTTTTTTTTTTGAACTACAAGAAAGCTGAAACCGTCATTACAAACTCTAAATTTACCAATTAATGTAGTTAACGCACCATCTTATAATAGTTAAATATAAATCTTCATCGAAGGATTCAGCAAATCCTTTTCCCAAAAAAAGATATACAGTATTCACATGGCTCACGAAAATGAACTTACGAAAAAAGTTACGTGTCTCTGAACTCACCGCTTAAACTTCTTTTTAATTCATCACGCACAGATTTTCCAAAACATGTGCATGAGAAATTTTCGGACTGTTCCAAACCATATCCCCAATGAAGACGTCAGATGTACTTTTCAAGGCTATGCTCAACACAGGACAAAAATAATTATCAAAACTTTAAAAGGAATCAAATAAAAAAAAAAGCTATCCAAAACGTTTCGCGAAGGGTTACAATACAACCACCAAAAAAATGAATACCTGAGTTCACCCTTCTTAACAATCTTGAAAAATGAAAAAAGTCAATACCGCAAAATTTCGCTTCATCTTCTGCGCAAAACGAAAAAAAAAAAACATCCGCCACAATATGATTTTTCGACGACTCCGCCCGGACGCGTATCAATGACTAAAGTGAGGTAATCGAAAGAAAGAAAAAAATGAACCACAGCGGGGTTTTTAAGTAACTGAACACTCAAACAAACAACGGATTTCTTAATCGTCAAGTCGCCGCCGTTGTGGGTCGAAGGATAAGTTTCCCGTTATTGTCGCAGGACATATTGAAATCCTCCAAGACCGTCTTTGTTCTTTCGGCGATGATGATATGTGCTTGAATTCGGCTATGCACACCGAACAGGAACAGAAGCACTGGTAAAAGATAAGTAAAAATCAGTACGACGTTCCAAAAAAGTAATACAGAAGGTCTACCTCTCTCTACAATAAAATTCAAGGGACCAGAACAAATTTATTCTGAAGGGAATATATTTGTATAAAACCCCATGAGGGGGAGAAACCCCGACAAAACGATTTCTTCGGGGGGTCCCCATCGGCAAAAATTCGTCGTACAGGGAAAATCTTCGTAGACAAGATCTTTATGGATAGAGTCCATCAACAGAAAGTATTTGCTTCACTCATCCTTTTCTGATGGAATTCTAAATTAAGTTTATTTAGAACTTCAGATGATCAGGATGAATACAAAAAAGAACCTGCGCAATTTCCTGCCTTCAGCCTTTTTTCTCCAACATAAATCCTTTTGGCAGACTGGCTCTAAAAGATAAGCTTTAAAAAAAGAAATCCAGACAACATTACATCAATAATTTCCTGTTCAAACAATATCTGACATCACTATGATGCCCTTTTATAATTTTCAGCAGGGGCCTCTGTTTAAAACAGTGCTTTGAAATTTGACTCAGAACCAGAATTTTATTACGAGAGATTCGTGTCAACATTTTTGAGGCACTCATTTTCATTTAGACTAACGAACTCATCAATGGAACTGGTTTATGAACCTGAGAATGAAATTTTCACCATCACTCACACTTTTTAAACTCGGCGGTTTTTAACCTAAGCGAAAAACAATCTCTTCCAACGATCAAATTATCAATTATCATAGCCGTTTCCCTCTCAAATAAAATTATCTACTGTACCAAACATCAAGAAAATTTGAAATACGCGCGGAAACCAGGTGACTTTTGTAAGGCATAGAAATCTCACCGAGGATCAAAAATGACACCAGGAAAAACGGATGGGAAACCAGTGAATCCCAAAATGTTACACGCGAGATGGCGGGATCATTGATCCATTGCCATGCTCCTATCGCAGTGCATGCTGTCACAACGGCGAGAACAACTGCGGGAAAAATGGGCATTAAGTACGTGGATTCACTTCAAACACTCATTTGGCGAATACCACTATGAATATATGTATCACATAAAATTTTAAATCAAAAGCAATTCCAAATATAAACGAAAAGTTTGACGAAGCATCTCCCTTTGCGACACGAAAGATGAAGATAAATTGCTTTCCGACTGCAATAAAGTCTGGTATTTCCATGCCAGTACTTTCTTTCAGTTCATTTCAGAGTGAACAAACAGAAGAAGTGGGTTCAATTATAATTAGATTCATCAGTGGAACTGCAATAAACACTTCAAATCGCGGACAAAATAAAAGTATTTTAAAGCTTACTGCACAATAAATTCACACGGACAACTTGCATACAAGTCCGAATCAAACTCCATTAAACTCAAGGTTGCCAAACGTTACCTTCAGTCGCTTCCCAACATCAAGAGAATCTAACTCTCCCACGTCATTTAAATCTCGCTTCAAGACAGAATTAACAATGGGATTTCTCCTGGCATAAATCATTCAGCATCACGCAGACGAATGAAGTAAAAATGTTGAATTGTTGATAGTTCTTTTTTTTTCATCACAAGAAGGTCTCGTAATTCATGAGAACAATCAATTAATTCCTGGGTAAAATTGAAAAAAGATACTCTACTCACTTCGCCATCTAATCGCAGTCGGCTTAGCACACGATATCACCTCCGTCAGTCTTCTCTCAAACGCTTTCAAATCTGTGGACGAAAAAAAAAAGAAAAGCACAAACAAATTAGTGAATGTCGTTTTTAATCTGTTAAAACCACATTTTTTTCCGACAACATAGAACATATGATGATACTGCATTTGTGTCAAAAGGTGGAGACAGTGAGAAAGAAAAGTTAGAAATCCTGGCATCATTCAAAGTTTTGACTCTGGAGAAGAACATGTACCGGGCTTTTCACGGAAAATACTGTATCAATGCCATACACTCGGACTCTGAGGTGGGGACTTGATTGGTTCTTAGACCTCGCCTTTATGTATGAATGTCCGCATGTTGGATCCCGTTTTCCCATAGACTTCAATGAAAACATTTTCAATTCCCTCCATTTTTTGGCAAAAATTGAAAAATTCTCCAACAATTGAAACAAAAATGTGTTTCTGAACTTATGGATGCAGACAATAATATCGCAATAGAAGAGTGCATATAATCTGCCTTTTTGAAAATTTAAATACAAAAAGCACAAAAATAAGCACAAAAAGTAACTTGTTTTGACTCATCAATTAGAGTACATTTTTAATCAGATTTATTTTGCATCTTCGTTCATAGAAATAGAGAGAATCTAACCCGGCAGATTTTTTTAGTTTCAATTTTCCACAAGTCGAATTTTTCATAAGTCGGGGCCTGACTGTATTTCGTTTCTAGATATCATAAATCATCGTCCATCGGACGCGTACACAGGTGGACTCTCGCTCTACAACTAAATACAGGGGACCATCGTACCAGACAACAACCAAAAATCGCTGTAGAGAACCCCTATAACAAGGGTAGGCCGAACAAAATTAATTACGCAGATAAATTCATTTTAGACAAAATCGTCGTAAAGAGAGTCCATCTGTAATATTCATCCATTTCCAACTCGCCAGCAAAGAGCTTCTGTCCCAAATAGGGAAACAATTTTTTCCTTAAGCGCAGAACATTTTCGGTTTTTCATATAACGCCAAGATTGCTTTCTTTGCTACTTTTTCAAACTGTCTCAACTTCCTTCTTTCGTAACACTTTCCAAAAATTGAAACAATGCACAAAAACGAACACGACAGATATTCAGTCATCTCGCATCAACGATGAAAAAACACTCGGGACTACCTGGATCTGACTCCATGCCGCTTTCCAAGTTGGCTTCCGCCGGAACAGCGGATATTCTTTTCACGCGGGAAACACGACCGGGTGAACCCATTCACGGTATATTCCGTATACGCAGCACGATCACGTTTCTCACTCTTCTCCCTCGAAAGAGGGCATACAATAATGGCTCGGATTTCGTCAAAATAAAAGGCACGTCGTTATATCGTCCTCGAGATGCAGCATGGTCCTTTCAAAATAATTAAAAGCCCTTTCATCATTATTACAAGAACATCACTAAAATTGAGGCCACAGCAGTCGTGCTTTTTGAATTTAGGCGTCAAAGAAATAATCATAGAGGCGCCAATCGTACAGCTGCAGTACTTGTCATGCCTTCGTAAATAATGCACCGAAATTCCACAACCAGCGCAAACCCCTAAATTTTTTGTAAGTTTCTCGGCCTTGAGCGTCAATTCTGATCAAAAATGGTATCCGAAACGGATGAAATGCATGAAGGATTTGAAGAATATTACAGGCTGAATCCACTGAATAATGATCTTGGTCGGAACTCGGAAGTGAGCCATCAATCGACCTTCTAAAATTTGAATTTAAACATACACGGAGATTCGAGTGCTGATGTGCCCACAAAAACGTGAATATATTTTTTAAATATACACAAATCGCAGTGAACAATTGTCGAAGGAACAAACGGGAAAAAGTTAGAAAGAACAAAAAAAAACCCTTAAAAAATCTCCGAAAGTGTTTGGCAACTATTCAATCATTTTCGGCCTTTCCGCTGGAAATTCCAGACGAAAGAGAGACAATGACTGATTCACCAGCGAAGATGCTTTATTTTTGTCCACTCATCCCCATTCTAATCGTTTTCATGATAATGCTAATGTGCCAGACAAGAGTCTCAGTTCAAAAAAAGTCAACCTTTTTCCCTTCTTTCCTCTCCCACTTGACAATTGGTCTTCATCACATCAAGCGTTCGGGTTGAAAATTGTTTCGAGAAAACAGCACAAGCAAAAACATATGCAACGAATGGATACTTTTTTCAACCATGGAAAGCGAAAGTGGAAAGCGACGTCACGACAGATCATAAAACCCTGTAGCTTCGTCGTCGCCGCCGTTTCGTAACTATCCACAAAGGGAAATGAACTCACTCGCCTTCTGACTCAAGATTCTCCCCCCATCTGTCCTTGGCTGGTTGAGCGACTTCACAACAAGTGACAGCGATTCATGAAATATTCAACGACGCAGTCCATGATGTCAAGCGGAAAGGGAAGACAGAGACAACAAGTATTCTCCTAGCGGCTTTGGTTTTTTCAACATTTTCACGAGTACACGCGGAATATCTTGAAATTTATTTTGTTTCTTTTCTCCAACCAGAAGAAAACGCGAAGTGAGGGGAAATGCGAGAAACGACAAGCGTTCAATAATTGCTTCAGCACATAAAAACTTTGCATCTACTGTATTTTACTTTCGATTTCAATGTCCCTATTCACCCCTCCATCATTTTTCTCAAATCACATAGATGTCGCCTGAATTTATCAAAATGCCCATAAGCTCAACCCGGCCTAGGTTAAGGTACAGTAATTCTTTGTTACAGCAACCCTCATACATTCCTTCAATAGACTTCGAAAATTGACACTGCAATACATTCGACTGCAAGAAAACTAATCAAACATTTTTATCAATCTCAAATATTTTTTTACGTTACCGAATTTATGACTAGCATTATTTGACGTCAACCGAACGTCAAATAAATCTGACCTTGTGCCCCAGATATAACTGCTCCATTTTCTTAAAATTGAACTCCACTTTGTACCCTAGTAATGTTGTAAGAACTAACCCATTTTCGTATCCAGGTCAAAACTAACCCAACCTCGAGCTCAAGTCAAAATAAACATGAACTACACTATCACTGTACAGTACATCAGTAAAAGCCACCTGGCCTAATATGCATAATAAAAATTAAAACCCAACTTAATACTTCAAAAAATAAGCTGAACTAATGCATCAGAAAAATTAAGCTAAGCTGATACATCAGAAGTAACCTGACCCAATATAAATGAAAAAATAATATATTAGGTCAGGAAAAAAGTGAACAAATCTAGCATGACACCCGTTACCAAAGCCTTGCCGCACCAATGCCAAAGTTACAACTAACATCACCTGTCTCAATATTTTTCAGCGTGAATCTGGGTAGATATTCGGACAAAGAAACGCACAAGAAATGTATGATAGTTTTCAGACAAAGGAACAACCCAAGTAACCAAGTTGCATGGGTTCCGCTTTGCAAAGGCGGATTCCAATCGAGTTTTCGCGGACAGAGGCGACACCTGTCCGATATTCGAAAAAAAAAATGCCGGCCCAACGTTCAAGTGAGCAACACAACATCGTACACTACGCAGTACAGTACTTCTTCCTCGGGCCGGAATTAGCAGAAAAGAATCCAGGGCTGAACCCGACAGCGGTAAATGAATTCGCTTGGAAGCTTCAACTTGAACAGCTGATCCATGGCCGGCTTACGTACCCAGACCCAAAAATACCCGACGACCCGTCAAGCTAATTCCGACACGAAAATGCATATCCGGAAACAAGAGTCCTCCTCTTCAGTTCCAGTCCCACCGCCTACATTAGCTGGCGCGTCAGCATGACGCAGCGGCAATAACTGGAGAATACAGGTGGCCTCAACATTTTTTCATAGTTCCTTTTCAGACAAAATACAAGTTGTACAACATACAGAAGGCAAATATGTCCACAATTACGTAGAACGACTAAGATGTCAGGAAACCCACAAACCCTCGCAGAACCAAAAGGGGACGAGAGAAAAAAAAATCTCTGGAACTAGCGCCGAAAAAATTAAAGGCATCCAGAACTGCGCCTATCCATGAAAAATAAAAACACAAAAAGACTACTTTAAAAATTACAAACGCTGATCGAAATGCGTTACTGAATTTCGTAGTTCATCGTTATGATTCAATCCATTCCCTAGTCAAAATGTTCAGTGGGATGTTTCGGTGGAAAAGATTTTCCTCGATAACTCAGCTAAAATGAGCAAAATCACTTTTACAATATTTTCTGGCCTGAGAATACCGGCTTTGTACTGTACTTGGCGTTTCAAAAAATGTTTTACACAAGTAATGCTTTCTTCTTCCTCCAGTTCCGACTTCAGGGTGATCGAACCCCGTCAATAAATTCCCTATAATTCGTTGAAAAAAAAAAGTTGCTGGATAACATTAGCAAACTGCAATACAGTACTGTACCACGTTCTCTGGCTCAAAAATAATGCTTCGTACTTGGCGTCTCAAATATGCTTCGCTCAAATAAAACTTCGTATTTTTCCTGTTTCCGGCTTTAGAAAAGGGCCAATTCTTGGTGATCGAAATGAGTTTTGAAAATATTACATTTATTCAAGTCATTTTCTTCAAAATGCTTCGTGGAAAAACTTTCCTCGATGACCACACTAACTTGAGCAAACCACGTTACCACATTTTCTGACACGAGAATAATGCTTCGCACTCGGCGTCTAAAAAACTGTTCCGCACGATTAATGCTTTGTTCTTCCTCTATTTCAGACTAAATAAAATTGATAACAAGTTCCTTTTTTCACCGCGGTGATCTAAACGTGGTAGAAAAAAATGGAACTTTTTAAAATCATACGATGCATTTCTTTCAATAAAATATTGCACTTCCTTGAAACAAGTTTCCTCGATGACTAAAACGCATGAGCGAAACAAGTTAACGTATTTTTTAACACGAGAGTCATTCTTTGCACTTGACGTCTCAAAAACGGTTTCGCACAATTATTCCTTCGAGCTTCCGCAGTTTCCAGTACCGTCTTTTTTCACGGAACACTCCAAACACACACAATATTCTCCATCATAAACGCAGATCAACAATAAATCAAAGCTAGAACACAATCATTCAATCAATCCGAACTACTACTGTATTACAAAACCTAAGCGAACAAATTTCCAACACTGATTTGTCAACCAACCGTTTGATTTCATTCAAAAAATCGTCGCACGCGTGGATCTTATCCAGAAGAAACCAACCGTGATTGAAATACCCTTGACCTCGCAGACGCAGAAACCGAAACCAAACCAAACAAACAAACCAGATCTAACCGCACCTGGAACTAACCCAAAGACCAAGAGGTAGAAAACCGAACCGAACCACACCAAATGGCCCTCTAAAAAACCCTGGGAAATAATATGATCTAAAGATAGACCTCCGCAATGTGCCCGAAACACGCGCGATAATTTTGCCCCACTCCAGTCTGGCAGACGAACCTAAGCAGTATATACAGGGTTACGAAATCCCCAAACGAAAAAGCAAATCTTTTTCCGAGTGTATGAATTTTGACTAGAGAAATTCGGGCCTAATTGCGATTGGACAATGTCAAAATGAGTATTCCGGCATAATCTGGACTCAAACTTTTGGCGCACAAGAAAGAAATTGCGCAGGTACCCGATGACAACTTCAAAACGCGGAAACGTTGTGGGGGGAAATTGTGGGAAAATTTTGTGTTTTCCAGAAGTAAACATTAATTTCCTTGAATTAATGAACTGCAATGCACTACATGTACAATAGTAACAGAATCACAATGAGATTTGCATACAGAAAGCAAAAAATGCAGCTCTTTTCCAATCCAGAGGCTCTTTTTTTGTTGAAAATGCCAGAGTTTTTCACTGTTTTCACATCGTTCAACAATTTCCGTTGACATCGTGTTCATAATCAGAACGCTGCACAGCTTCCTCTTGTATATTTTGCACCTGGATCAGCCTGTATCAAAACACTTGAACCAACACTGATTTCCAATGGCAAGAAATGACAATGAGAAAAAAAAAGTGTGATTTTTCAGTCCGCAGTACAAAGATTCCACGGCAGTCTTCCAGTGTTTGAATTCTGAACGACAGCAGCAAAAGATCATTCTATTATCCCGCATTCTTCCAAGCAGAATTCGAAAGGATTTTTTGCGGCTCGGTTAAATCTTAAATCACTTCACAAAAATGAAAAGAAAAAAAACCGAAACAGAAATTTATGGAACCCACCGCTGTAATGCAGCAAGTACCAGGCAAACTGCGCTTCTAATGAAGGCACCCCTTTATTTATTGCTCACTTGGACGAGCAAGGACCAGTCAATAAAAGCGAAGGGAAATTCTCCCGAAAACATCCCACCATTTCTTTTCGTCAGCACAGTACCAAGGTAGGTTGGTAATGCAACAACAGCAGTTGCTCCTTCGCTCATC